CTAAATTTAGAGGCTAGGTTAGGTGACTGCAAAACCCATCTAGGTGCATGCCCTCTGCCCTCTGCCCTCTGCGTGTGCTGTGGATGCTTCTGTGCACACATGGACACATGCACACACACACTCCAGCCTCACTTTTCCAGGCTGATACCAAGTGAATCCTACCTTAGACCCTGCTTCAGGGCATTGAATTGGAGGCTTGTTTTGAATTTTTTCTTATGGGAGAAATGGCTCACAGAGGACTTCATCACAGTAGATTTGAAAACTGCATGCAGAATTAATCTGTGTCATCCCGCCTCTGTTGAGATACTGCTGTGTCAGGAAAAAAAGCATTATAAAACAGGAGGTTCCTGTGTAGGATAGGACAATCTTCTGCCCTTCAAAAGAAGGATCCCAAGGTTTCCTGAGCTCCATGCTGCCACGTGCCTGGAGGATGTCTGTTTCCTTACACACATCCCACTGCTGTAGTTATTTATGGTGAATTCAAGTTTATTATTGCACAGCATTCCAGCATGCAGACTCCATAGCATCTCGTGGGGAGATTGCTGTGTGATGAATAGACTGAGAAACACCAGGCAACCGGTATTACTATAACACTACATAAATATGGTTGTTTTTTTCATATAACATTAAAACACCTGATTTCCTTTAACACTGTAAACATGTCACTTTATTAGGTCTAGGAGAGCTGATGAATTTAAAGACATTTTCAGCAAACAAGTGACAGCCTTTCCATGTTTTACACAGAGGTAAAGGAAAGAAATCTTTATTGTGAAAACATACGGAAGCGTAAAAGGGACAGGAGAAAACTGCCATGTGCCCCAAAGTTTTCTGCAGACAGGGTAAGAGCCACCCAGGTGACACTGGTGGAAAATAGAAAGTGAGGGAAATACAAGATATAATCTCCTTGAAAGAGTTGGCACAGGCTTTCTGTTTTGTAGCTAATAAATTCAGCTTTCAGGAGGAAATCCAAATAAGCTGCGTTTGCCAGTTATTAAGAATGAAAATTAATGCATTAATTATGCACAGTATTACATCTGCTAAACAAGGTGATGTGGCCAGGATTTTATTTCTTCCCGGACATGAAGTTTAAAAATAAAACTTTTCAATCATAAAATTGTTGCCTTGAAAAAGGACAGGTAAATGTCTAAGCAAGTGCCTCATTACTGTCAGAACACTGATCTGTTGTTTCATTTACGGTAGTGTTTTTCGGTTGTTAGACTAAAGGTCGAGGCAGCCTTTCCATTACAAATACACTACTTTTAGGGTACTGCTGTTTGACCAGAGAAGAAAACTCTGAGCATTTAGGCAAAGTGAAAAAATTAAAACACTAGCAACTGCTTGTTTTTTTAGGGCTACCCCTTGGGCTGAGAAGTTCTTGACTTCTTAAGGACTTAAATTGTTATTTTCTTCCCTTCTCCCCCTCTCCTACCCACCCCCCATATATCAGTTCTCCCTGCTAGAGCACCACTAGAACCAACTATGTTTAAGGAGGATGTAAAAACAGCTCAGTAGAGCAAATGGGAATTGCACTCCTTACTCCTCAGGTGCTCAGATGCTTATGTGGTCATTGCCACGAGGGTGGAAGCAAGTGAGGCTATGGCAGGCAAGTTGAAGGACTGAGTGTGCAGGGTAGGTTCCCATCTCAAGGAAGGATCTGAGTAAGGTTGTCTGCCCCCACTGTCAACCAGCCTCAGGGGCCAGGTAGTTACACTGGCTCTGCGTTGCCCACCAGCCAGATGAATGTTGAGCATGAACTTATTGCTCATCAAGACTGTTGAGGGCTCGTGATTTCAGCTCCCAGTGAGTAATAGGAGAAGACAGACCTTGCTAATTACTTTACCTCCCTCAGCTGCCATGTGTCAGTGGCTTGCGGTGACTGCTGAGAACAAGATTGCATTTCATAAATCAGCATGCATAAGCTGTTTGAGCTGAGCAGCCTCCCTCTGCACTTGGCTTCATTCTTTTCCCACTTTTTCAACCTTCCCTCCCCCCACCACTTAAAAAAAGAAATAAAAAAATATGTTTTGCTTTAAGCATGAGTGACTGCAAAGCACAGATTGTCATAAAGGGCTTCTGGTAAATACTCCTTTGCATAGGCTGAAGAAGTGTATGCCATGCTCCAGTCATAGCTTGTGCCATAAAACCAAAGCACACTAAAAGATTTACGTATGAGAAAGATGCATTTGAAGCTGATGCACTCCTGTGAAGATAGCATAATAGGCTGTTCAGCGGACACGCTGGGGAGATGCGGAAATCTCAAAAAACATGTGGCTGTTGTACCTGCTGCCAATCTACTTGGAAAAGACTAAACAGCAAGGGGTGTCTGGTGGGACAGTCACATATCAAACTGCTCCAGCATGGAGATGTAGGATCTTGCTCATAGACATACTGTCGTATGGTATGGTAGCAGGGGCAGCCTGTGAGTATCTTGCCTTCCCAGAACAGGGCTCATGAATAATGGGGATGGGATGAGGTACCGCTGGTATACACATGGTTTAGCTAAGTCTGCTAAGCTGTGTAGTAAGAAGAGGAAAAGGCATTTCATTGTTGCTATGTCATGTGTGGAGGGACTAAGCCTGCAGCTGGATCAGCACACCCAGTCCTGATCAAAACCTTCCCTACGCAAAGTAGGGAAGGGATCACAGAGTCACAGAATGGCCTGGGTTGGAAGGGACCTCCAGGATTATGAATCTACAACCCACACAGATCCTCATGGAGACACAGCCACACAAGGTCAAGAGCAAGTCTGCCACCAGACGCAACAGCTTTTATGAGGAAGCAAGTTTTACAGGATAATATGAATGCATCTGTAATCAACAGGACAGCAAGCTGCAGGAGTGAAAGAGAATATACATTTGATGCTAGAAAATTCACTTAGAAGATATCAATTTCAGTCTCTGTTTCAATACTTCCTCTTCCTACCAGATGACTTATTTATTCCACGAGAAAATTAATGTGCATACATAAATGAAAACCATTTATTTTAGTGTGAAAACTATTAGTGTGTTGTAATAGCAGGGGAATTAATCAATTGCACCTGAATTGTTACTAAGGTTTCATCACAACAGCTAACTATTTCTGGAGAATTAATATACTTAAATGCCCATGTGCAAGAGACATTGTATGCTTGTGAATTGCAGTGCCCTCTCTTCTTTTTGCTTTCTTCTGAAAGCAAGCAGCTCAGTTACCAGGTGGATGGGATCTCTCTCTATTGCCGCCAGAGACTGAGGTTGCACCATGTTTTTGAGATATCTGCCCTGCCCCACTGTTTTCGGTGCCTAGGCACTGGCAGGGGCTGCAGGGCTACTGTGAGGCAACCAGTCAGCTCACTGCAGCTTCTCAATTTCTAAATGCTGTCCAGGGCATTTTCTATTTCCATTCACAGTGGGCATAGTGGGTTTAGTGCTGGGTTTTTTGTTCCAGTTCTTCTTTCCCTTCTTATCTTTCACCTTTCACCCTCTTTTTTTTTTTTTTTTTTTTTCTTTTTTTTTTTCAGAAACGTTTGTGTTCAGCACTGGGACCAAGCCAGTATGAATCAGAAGACTGGAAGGCAGGAAGATCCTACCCCAAACAAGATGAAAACATACTAGATGGAAAGGCATCAGAGAATTGATATCCCAGATAGAAGCCATACTCAACAGATTCCTACAATGGCTCAGACTTTTTTTCTGGCTGATACGGTGGGCTCCTGATTTACTTTTTCTCTAAACAGGACTATAGATGTTTCATTCATTGGCACATATGTGTACACATAATTTGGTTTCACTGAGTCACAAATTTCTAATATTTTCCAAACAGTTCTTGTTGGTAGGGCTGTGTTTTTGTTTTTGTTTTTTTCTTTTTTTTTTTCCCAGTTTATTTATTTATTTATTAGTTGAAAAAGTATGTGCTTCCTGGAGAAGAGCACAGAAGATGATATAGTAGCCCAGGAAACACGAATCACTTTCCATTTGCTGCTTTTCTGCTGCTCTTCATTTTCCTAGCAACTAAGAACATAGCAGAAAAATCAAGTCTAATTAATTAATCAAGTCTAGTAATCTGTTCTCAACCTGATTTCTTGATATGATCTGGTTTGTTTAAATCTACATCCTTCGTTTTCCTGTGCTCTCATGCTTCATCTTTATTGGCGAGCATATTTGAATTTCTAACAATCAACATTCAGATAGATATTTGAGGACTAGTTCATCTGCCAAGGCTGAGAAATGGTATTTTGTGTGACAAATGTTTTTGTGGTGGTTTTTTTTTTCACTTGTCCAACACAAATAAATAAATGTGAAATTTTCTTGTGCTTTTTTTATTCTCAACCAAAAAAAAATAAAATAAAATAAAATAAAAAAAAATCTGCTTTTTTTGGTTGAAGTGCTGGGGTACCAAGGCCCAAGGCTCTGCCACTTGCAGTGTTGTTTCCAAGACTGTAATGGCACATCATGTGTGCTTGATCAGCTTGTAGCCCTGCCTTTTGAAATGATTTTTTTTTAAAAGCAGACAGCAAAGGGACTGCTACTTTCAAAACAAGAACTGCCCCCAACATGAAGTACCACTCCCAAAGACAGCGTGCAGATTTTCTCAAGGCTCAGCTTCACTAGAGCACTCCAGTCTGTCTCCTGAACAACTTTTCTGTTTTGGAGAATAAGAAAAATATTAGCATAACATTAGTTAGTGAATTGTAAGAGAACTTAAATTCATGCATTATATGTCTAGATCAACAGTGTCCCCAGGCCATTGTAACAAAAAAGTTTTCTCTCCAACTGCAATCGGGAGCAAGACGTCCATTGTAAGGAATCCTGAGTGCAGGACAAGGGAGGTTTCCTGCAGGGCTGCACCTTGTAAACAGCAGAGATGAGCTAGTTACTACCATACTGCAAGGGCACAGAGTTGCTTGATGTGGATCACTGGGACAGCACAGATATACTTAAGAGGAATCCAAGGTCATGCTCAGTTCCCATAAGAGATATTCTTTACTGAGGGTTTCAACCACAAACCAAACATCTTACAAAATGTTATAGTGCAGAAAATGACATTTCCAAGTGTATTTATTGAGAAATAGTAAAGATGTACATAATTTTACAAGCTTTTAATTTTAATTTACATTTTCTTAAATTATGTAGGCCCCAATAAACTATAATCTGCTAATACAGAACAGACAACCTTGGCTTCAATTTTATCTCAAAAATGCTGCTATTGCTGGGATTTGGCTCATGTCACTTCAGCTCCTCTTCAAAGATACTAAATACCATATTCATTTCAAGCACATGCTTGGTATCACTCCTGTAAAGTAGAGATGACTTTTGAACCAAAATCCCGGATCTGGACACAAACTCACAGCTAAAATTCAGGTTTCCTATTGTGGGCCAAGTCCACATTCACCACAAACTCTGCAGTTCAGTTGGCTGCAGGATTTCATCTGCTCTGAGATGAAGTGTGCCTGTATACAGGATTTTGATTTGGCTTCATCTCTCTTGTCAGTGCTTACACTGGAACATACTCTGCATCTACTGTGGATGCAAACACTTCTGCTCACGCTGGCTTTTAATGAAATCATTAATTGGGAGCTAGCTGCCACCTATGCCTTTGTGTGCTATCTCCATAGGCATCTAAAAAACAATTATCATTTTTAGCTTTTGCTTCCTTTTTCACTGATAGGCTGAACTGCATGGAGTTATATCTATTTAAGTTACTAATTTGTGACTGCAATCACACTATGTTTGTATTCTGCAAGCTGAGTATTCAAATGCCTAATGAACTTTCAAGTTCTGAACTGACTGAAAACGCTTAGAGTATCAGCAAAATGCGTTGTATTCTACACGTCATTTGCACAGAATACTTGCAAACATGAACTGTGCTCAATCTTGATTATTCAGGTGAGGCTGAAGGGAAGGCAGTTTCTGATTAATACGTTGTTGAATTAAAATGCACTCAATGTCAAAATGACCAGCCGTCAGCTTAATCCCATCTGGAACAGTCTGTCTTGACTACATCTCTGCCTTGGTCATTTTCTCCTCTCTGTTGTTCATGCAGGAAAATTCATCCATGTCCTTTGTTTCTACGAAACAGGCATGCGCAACACAATCCTGTTCAAGGATATATAACAATTTCTTTTGCTTATCAAGACAGTATTTGTGCTCTGCAATTTTACTTTAGAGTTTTAGGATTGTGAAAGTTTTTTGAGATAAATCTTTGTGGGTTTTTTTTGTTGTTTTTTTTGTTTTTTGTTTTTTTTTTCTGGTGCATTTTTTGTGGATTATTTTTATAATTAACTTTCACTGACTAGGGACACAGAATTCAAGTTAAAATCAGAACTTTACTGTGTTCTGCAAAACTTCCCTCATTTTGCCTTCACCTCCTCTCTGAATGTCCAGTATAGTAATTGAGTCAGTTTTGCCAGAGAGGTAAGAACAACTCCCCTGCAAACTTTTTTAAGAACTGATGGTTGTTGCTGGGCTATTGTTTGTTCTAACATCTGATTTGGTAAAGAACACTGAAAAACTAAAGAAAAAAAGAGAAATAAAATAGCTTCATGCATTTAGATAATGCTATCACTTGTTAAAAAAAAAAAAAAAAAAACGAGAGAGAAAGAAAGAAAAAAAAGAATTGAAAAAAGCTATTTCATCATACCAATTTTTTTTTTTTTTTTAATAAAAACTTTTATACTGACATTCTCATGCAATGTTATGGTGCTGGAACTTGAGAAGGGCTTTGTTCAACCTTTTTTCCTGTTCCAGTAGAAACATTTTTTTCCCACTTGAAGACTATGAAAAACTGGCACCACAGGTCTTATGAAAATGTACTTCTAAGCAAATGTGACTAGGCAAGTTCTGTAAATATAAATAAGGTATGTATCATTTTTATTTGTTGAATACACATATCTATCACCCACGTAACTGGTGTATAGTGATTTCATGTGTGGTTATTCTCATGGCTTCACACTTTCCAATGATAACAAAAAATTATTTTTCTTTTATGATGACTTGTATATCCAATTCCAAAGCAGCAAACAAATTCCATTTTCATGAAGTTACAAAAAAGTTTTGTCTTGATTTTTTAGTAGCTCCAAGCTTTACCTACCAAATAACTTTCATGTAATACATCAACAAAGATGAAATCTGCTTACTACCTGGTAACTAGGCATACACTGGCTTCAAAACAGGGATGGAAGAAATTCAGCTCAGTGCTGATAGCTGTACTTTTGTAAGCATCATTGGAGTTTACATTTAACATCTCTTGTTCACACTTCTTCACAGAGTCAGAGCACAGGCAACCTCAGGCATCTCCACATAGAGTAATAAAAATCAAAAAAGCAGTTTCCATCTTCTGCAATGAAAGATGAACCACTGCAGTTGCTGTAGAGTGTTCATGTGGAGTGCTGGGGCTCTTCTGTTGAAAACAGACCTTGCTCATTTTCCAGAGCTGAAAGACAGCTTGTTCAGTACTTGCAAGGTAATTATCACCATGTGGACCAAAATTATTAATACATATGACTAAAGTTAACATATTTCTCAGTATTTCTTCATCAAAATCTCCTCCTTATCTTCTCTTCAGATGCCTGGCATGCTGTTGAAATATCTGAATGCAAAGACCCTTAAGGGTTGCTCCTGTATATTAATCTTTCGTAATCAAAATTAGGTGAAGAAAGACATGTTGACCCAAAACAGAAGACATCTGTATGTGGAACTAAATGGAAAAGCTACTAAAATATGCCAAAATATTGACCAAAATGGACTGTACTCCTGAGTGGGCCAATGCCATCTTGCCAGCAATTCCAGCTGCCTAAATATGCTGAATATAGCATAATTTGTGCATTTGACCAGTAAGACATTCTTTAGAATTCTTTTCTTTCTAAAGAACCTGTGTTTTATCCTCCATCTGTGCTTAATTTAATATTTTCACCTTCCAGTAATGCCATTAGTGCACTCCAGATACTTCATCAGTTGGCTGCGAGTTTGTTCCTTCAAATACAGCAAATACACTCATTGCATGGCTTTCAGTGGACTAAGTAATTCACGAAAATGGCTCCTAGTTATCTCATCAGAGAATCAAGAAATGATGTTGAAGGTGTTAAACTCTTCTTTTTTAGCTTTCATGGTAGCGGTCCCCACTATCAATCTCCCAACATACTCTCAACTTTCCTCAGTCAGTGGAATTATTGAGAATCCAAATAAAAACACAAACTTTCCTTTATTATTCTTTTTTCTTACTGCAACAAAAACTTAAATGCTTTGGTGCAGTCACTCTCTTTGATTTCTCTGAATTTCAAATTTGGTCATGTCAAAAATTATCACAAAGGCTTTTTTTTTGTTTGTTTATCTACATAGTTTTTAACCAAAGTTACATTATAACACACAAACACAGTCTTCTCCTTAAGGCACAACACATCATTATGCACATTCTGTTTGCCAAACTTATAAAAGAGACAATATTATATAACCCTCTCCCTCCCCGACCCCCAAAAAGAAAGAAAAATTGCATCCACTTCCAAAATCAGCTGCTAATAAAGTCACAGTAAGTTATTTTCATCAATAATTTACACAAATTACAGGTCTAGACAGGATTGTCATTATACAGTCTGAGTGCATTCCAATTCAGATTTTCTGGGTTAGGTAGGCTAAAGTCTGGTTCAAACCTCAGTGCTGAGAATATATCCCATTTTGAGGAATGTTGTTGAACAACACCTTGTCGGTTGGAAAACGCATGTTGGTGCTTTGCCAGTTCGAGTCCTTTGTTCACTCCTGTCAGGGCTCATTCGGTGTGTACCAGCAACCTCCACAGTTTTAATCCATTTAAAAACGTTGCATATATAAGACCATAGAGCTTCCTTATGTAGCGCTAATGTTTTAACTCCATTCAGCAATCTGAATTCTTCAATTTGGAATTTTTAATTCCAAATATTTCTTCCCTTCTTAAGACAATTCATATGTGTAAAGCCAGAGGCATTGAATCACACATAAAAATTCAGTGTACTTGAAATATATATATATAAAAAAGGATCGCCAACTTTAGAACACAGTTACAAATACTCTAGTTCCAGTGCTTGATGGAGAGCCAAGAGGTCCGAATGACTGGATATCCTCCAGAAAGGCATGTTGTGCTGTGTTTGTCAGAGGGGGGAAAAAGGTCAGGAATAATGAATGCTATGACAGAGGGCGGTATCTGATACATGAGACTAGTCAGGTTACCACCATGGAGTTTACACCACTGTGTTTCTGGAATGATTTTTGCTAGTAAGGTACTGACAAAAATCAGGCCAAAATAGATCTGAGCTCAACAGTTCACCTGAAGGTAAAAAAAATTAGGCAGTCTTTCTTAATAGTGTCTTTATAAAGAGCCCATTATTTAGTGAGGGCTATTTGCTTTCTTGTTATTATGGAAACCCATACAAAGGAGCATTAACAGGAAATCTGCTTCTGTTCCACTTGTTATACTTTGCAAGAGACTGAAAGCTCATTTGAAAAGTTATAAGACTTTCATAAAATGTGGCTTCACACACACTTTGAAACATTGTTGCATTACAGTTTTGTCCTTCTGGGAGGAAAAGAAAAATAAATATCTTTTGAGGAGAAAATAACACATTTCTGTACTTAAAAGAAGATAATGTGTTGCAGAAAGCATCAGCGTCTCTGAGAGTTGCAGGTAAATGCACTTTTCTCCTTCAGCAATTGATCGGAGTAGAATTGAAGTCATACTTTCATGTTCTGTTCAGATCTATTTGTAATATGCTCTATTCAACCATTTCTCTGAATTCTGTTATCTATTCATGCAGTGTAGCCAATATTTAGAAAAAAAGCATGCCAAACTGGAAAGTACACAATCCAGCCACCATTGTTTAGCACAATCTATGAAAGACCCATCACCAGTACCTATATCAAGGAACCATTTGGAATAAGCATTTCAGTTATTTTCATTATGTTTCCATTCCTCCTACACTCTACAAACTTAATACTTTGAGGACAATTAATTTCATTACTTCTAGCACAAATACATTTTTATAATTTATGCAGGTGTGCAGAGGCAAAAAATAAATAAATCTGTTTCTGCATATTTGAGGGTCTATACTGTGAAGCATGGTTCAAATTTCTACTAATTTGATCTCCTTCTGAACATAGAAAATTTATCAGGTGAAGTTTAGATTTGAATTCATCAGATGAGGAAACAATACTTCTAAATAAACAACTTTTTTTTTAGAAAATGATTTAGTGCGCAGTCTTTATGTTGTTTTCTTTTTTTGCTTGCAGATGCTTATTTCCTGAATCAAAACTGCATGTTCATCCTGTGTGCTCAACCAACTACAGATCTGTCTTTATTTAAGTAAAAAATCTGCACAATCCTTTTAATGGTTTTTCACATTCTCCATAACACCTCTTTTCAAACCTACCTGGTTTCACCGTTTAAGGAGAATGACCACTCAACCTTCATGTCAAACCCATGATATATCTGTAATTTGTTTGATTTTAGTCAGACATTTTTGCCCCGATGTTTTTTTGGGTTTTTTTTTTGGTCAATTTTTAAATGATTTTGCTTTTTTTTTTTTTTCCTTTCCAAACTGAAATAAAGCAAATGCTAGAATCCAAATGGTTCATTTTATTTTAAGTGCTGACGTCATCATGCTCTTATGGCCTTGTGTCTGTAGACTGAAATGATTTGTCATTCTGCCATTGTACAAAACTGACAGAAATGCAAACAGAAAGGCTTGCATTAGTAGCTATGTATCACACCAACATTTCAGGAGACAGGTTACCTTTTTTGCTGCCTGTTCTTCTTCTACACCATCCCCAATTACAACATATACTACTTTTCTGCCAAACCTTTGCATTATTCGTTCAAAGCAACTTTCTTTTCCTGGAAGATAAATGAGATAAAAGTTCAGAGTGAAGTTACCTGATTAGCTGCATGCTCCTCATCTCGGCCATCTCCAATCACAACATAAGTTATGTTAGTGCCAAATCTGGACACTATACGCTCAAAACAGCTCTCTTTGCCTGAAAAACAATGCACTACTTGTTCAAGCTATCAAGCAAGTTACCATGATGCTCTACAAAGGTTTACTGCAGAGCTAAGACATCGCTACTACTACTTATTTTTTATAGTTCCCAGCCTTGAGATTTAGAGCTAAAACTGCTCAGAAACAATTAACACTGTTAGTGACACTAAGCTGATTTGGGTCAAATTAAATCCCTTTCTTAACAGTCACAGGAAAGCCGCTAAAATAAAGGAATTAGCAGCGCTGCAAAAACAAATAGGTTAGTGAAAGGAAAATTGAAATTAAATGTTTCCCTATTCCTGTAGTAATAATTTTTCAAGGACTGCAGCAATTTCAGGGCTAGTATATCTGCGAATTAAGCCATGTAGCAATGGAAAATGTGTTTGGAAAACAATGGATACCAAAAATAAAACTAGACAACAGGTTCCTGGGAGAACTTCCACAAAGTATTTGGCTCTTCTGGAGGAATGTGGAAACAAGCAGGCTAAGCCAATAACAACAAACAGGATTTAAAAGAGCCAAGCAAAGTCACCTACCCATCTTCCCACTGTACTACAGCTTCAATTTAGCAGCAAATGCTTGCGTTATTGATCCATGAACTGTCCAGATAAAATGATTTCACTGTTTCCACAGGCATCTCCATATTTAATTAATTTTTCCCTTAGGAAGCATCTCTCTGATATGCAACCTATGCATGCTCCATTGCAATTTAACCACAATTTATTGTCATACCTCCCATTAATGTAGAAAAAGATTATTTTCTTTTTGTAATAACTTTTTACCTGACGTCTCCCCTCCTCCCCTCCCCCCCAGGATTTTCAGTCTCCTCTCTTAAGCTCCTGATTTCTGTATCTCTGATTCTTAGTGCTCTTCTCTTGCTTTTCTTCAGATGGTCCAATACAAAAAGGCTTGCAATTATGAAAAGCATTCTGTGTATTAATTGTCCAATCAGGATCTGATTTCAGTGTGTGCAAGCAACAGCTACAATTTTAGTCCTGTGTCCAACAGAAAGCAGAGGTCACTGAAACGAAAAGTAGGTGCTGTACCAAAGAGAGTTTGCTGTGTTCCCAAAGGGATGAGACAGCAGCCACTGTTCCTACAAGGAAATCATGGTGTAGGACTCCTTCCACAGAGCCTCTAGAGATGCAGCTTCACTCCTCAACCCCTTAGGTGCTGTCAGCATGATTTTCTTTGTTCTGAGTGTAATCTCATTAACTGAAGCCAACATACAGGCTGTATGACAGATGACAGTAATTCCAGAAACTTCTCCAAAGCTTACTGTATTTGGGATACATTGTTCCCTGAATTTTTCAAAGGATTTTAGGCATTTCTGTCTCAAGGGATGAGCTATAGCTAATTAAAGATAACCGAGATAATAAATTTTCCTAACATTGTTATAATATAAATTTTGTCACTTTCTCACTTTTTTTTCACTTGCAAAAAACAGTTAGGAAATGTAGTGTTTTTTTAATAAAGTGGCACTGTCCTTGTTATTCAAGATATTGTAGTCAACATTCTTAAATTACTAAATGTCAAATCATGAAATCTGCCAAAATTATTGCTAGTAGTAGACTGTGTCATATGTCCAATTTCCTGCCAATATTTGAAGGAGGAGGGACGAATACTTATGAGGGTGGACAGCGATAGGACAAGGGGGAATGGTTTAAAATAAGACAGGAGATTTAGGTTAGGTATTAGGAGGAAGTTTTTCACACAGAGGGCGGTGACGCACTGGAACAGGCTGCCAAGGAGGCTGTGGATGCCCCATCCCTGGAGGCATTCAAGGCCAGGCTGGATGTGGCTCTGGGCAGCTTGGTCTGGAGGTTGGTGACCCTGCCCACAGCAAGGGGGTTGAAACTCAATGATCATTGTGATCTTTTTCAACCCAGGCCATTCTATGATTCTATGATTCCATGATCTCACAGGGCTGGTAACTTTTCTTATATTACATTTGGATGTGATTCCAAAAATATATGACTCTCCAAACTATACATAAGCCCCTTCAAAGTACCCAGTTAGCAGCAGAATAGGGAAGTGCCCTTGTGGCATCCATCAGCACAGTTTCTGTGAGTACCAGTCATCATTATGCTCAGTAATATGCTGTGATTCCAAAAAAGCTTCGGAAGCTGTGGTGTACCTTACATAGAGCTGAAGATCAGAACAGAGATTATTTTAACAAAATTTCTATTTGGATTAGAATTAATGAAACACTTTTCTTCATTATTCTCTGCACATTTTATGTTCTCTGTATTTTAAGTAGGAGTTTCTGAGGCTTTTAATCAGTACTGGAATCTTTATCATATTAGACATATATGAAAAGAAGCTAAATTAGGAATACTATTATTTACATATACAACTGAACATGTGCAACGTCTGATTTTTAACTAAAAACGTGTTAGGAACATGGTTTTGAATCCACCCATTACAGGCAAGCAATTATTAATAATGCAGAGTAGTTAGAATGAATGAAGGAATAATTTTCTTACCTATTTTAGTTGCACTGTAAATATTTTCAATGGGAAAAGCTCCTCCTAAACTGTATAGCAAGACTTTTGCAAGTGCTGGGATAAGCTGGGTTGTTGTTACCAACACATTTACACAGTTACTCCTAAAATGAGAGAAACATGGTTTAAAACATTTACCCAAATGCTGATGAGGTGAACCAGCTGTGGAGAGCATATTCAAGGTTTCTCAACATTCACTTTCACTCACACAGCAGAGCGACTCAGCACCATCACTTCCAGAAAAATGTACGTAAACTTTTTGGCAAAATCCTTTAAAACGTATATAGGCATGATTTATAGGAAGTGTTCCAGGCTGATTTATGAAAACCAAGTCCTTGAAGATGAGTCCACTGAAACATACATATAAGATCACTACCTCTGAAGACAGACATCCCAGTGCCTTCAAAGCATCATTTTCCTGCTCGGGATTACTTGGCAGTAGCTACCAGCCAAATTAAATTGTTGGGAGAAAGCAAAAATATCATTTGTTACTCCTGTCTTGAGGGGAAATAAGTGGCCAATATACATTTCTGCACACTGACATCACTTTCTTCATGTTTCCAGAGTAATTTTTTTCTTCAATTTTTTTTTTTTTTTTTTTTTTTTTTTTTTTTGAGACGAGGAAGAGACAATCATAATCACATTAATAGATAGCGTTGAATGGAAAGGTTGAAAGCTTGAATGGAGAAGCTGAGCTTAGCTGTTACACAACAGAAAACTGAAAGCCAGGACATTTCAGGCACTGACAGGCTGGAACATGTGTTTGGTCATGGAACTGAGAGCAACTAGTTGTGATTTTCAGTCCTTCTGTGAGCCCCAAGGCAGACTGCAGGCTATTATTTCTGTCTTAATGTATCTCAGTTTCTTGTCATTAACATGTAAGTGAAGTTTAGCTGCCTCACGGGCATATCTTCTAAAAATTTACAGCTGTACAGTTATTTGATGACAAGATAAATGACTGTTATTTAACAGTCCTGAGCCAGTGACAACAGTTTATCACATTCATCCTGCAATGCCCAACTGATCGACATTATACAATGTCTTTTTGAAGACTAACAATTTGGAAAGAAATGCAGAGCTAAACACAATGACTAACACAGTTTTTTTTAGTTTTTTTTTTTCTCATGACTTATGACACTGTGAAAAAATTTAAACAATAACTAATTGAGAGGCATATTGCAAAAGTAACTACTTTTAAAATTATTTTTCACATCTTTCCAAGTTTGTTCTTTCTTGTTCAACAGTTTTTTTTACCCACAGATATGTTTAGAAGGCAAGATGGCTTCCTTGTAGTTTAAGGACATGTTTTGAGGATTTCCAATAAAATACATATTAAATAGATTACTAAGCAGCAGCAGTTTTCACAGCTCCATTATTTCACATGAACAGTTATGTCTCATGACTGGGATCCCAGGCTTTTATCTGAGTCATAGTATCAAACACAGATATTCATCCTTCTGAAAACTTAGATATATGTTTAATCATACTGATCTGTTTGGAGGACAGAATAAACATGATTTTCTCTTCAGGGATTTATAGAGTACTTAGGTACCACTGTGAATAGGCACAAACACTGAAGTCCAGAATAGGCAGACTTGGAGTTCTAACATGCTGCCCACAGGATAAATAGCTTAAAGCCTGGCTCACAATTACAAAATACACTTTCAATGTTCACAGGACCATACATTACATTCTAAAAGACCTTTCCTACTACTCAGCGTGGAAATGGCAGAAAATGAAATAATTTTCTACGGAATTTTTTTCCTATTTCCTATTCAAAAGTTGTATTACACCTGTACTGTTCTTTTAAAGTACTAGTATACTTTAACTTGAAATGCCACAAAATAGCCCTAAATATCCATAATGAAAACTTCCTTTTATTAAAAAAAAAAAAAAAAGACTCAATACATACCTTGTGCTGATAATTGATAAGGATTTAAGTGCATTTGTTAGCCAGGAGTCTGTCAGAGCTTCAATCTCTGCTCTTAATTGCAACCATGCATCTCTTTTTGCAGGACCTAGGAGTCCTTTTATGAAAAAAGCAAGAAAGGAAATATAATTAAATTCTGTGTTAACTGGAATGTACAGATTTTCAGTTACTGTTTCAATTTTAAATTTCATCAGAACTTGAAAAACGTCTTTTTTTTTTTCTCTCCCAAATTTATATTCACACACTTGACTTTGTTTCCAAGCGTGTCTCTCAAAACTACCTATTTTTTCAAACAAAGTTCTTACGTACATCTTACACTGATTATAGAGGCAGTGACAAGGAGACCCAGCCATGGGGATCATAGGCAGACACACTGAGAAAATAATTACTTTATTACAAACTTGTCTTTACGGTATTTGCATATCTTTGTAACTGCCTTGCTTGTCACTCTGTATATAGGTACACCTCAGGTTTTGCATATGGAAATATGACATTTGTTTGCTGATGGCTTGCTCTTCATGTCCTTTTGTAGTTAGCAGTTCCATTTAGTCAGTAGTTTCATTTGCAGCTTTTGCAGCTCTGAAACGGTTGTGCATCTTCTGACCTTATACCTCACACAGTCCTTTCAAACACTTAAGAATCTTTAAAGTATGAATGGTCAGATTTCAAAAAAACCCACCCAACTTCATGAGTATTGAAACCTGACTTTTTTAAAACCAAGCAATTTTAAATTTGGATATGGTAGTAGAAGCAGGCTTGGTGACATTAATATACCTCTTTCAGAAATGGTGATGACTGTCTTCAAAAATCTGAAACAGAACAGCCCAAAATATTTAGTTTGACCTAGCCTCCTGTTGCATTCTACCAGCTACTCTGAAAGAGATTTATATGAAAAAAATATTTTATAAGAAAACCCTGTAAACCTTTGGATAATAATGTTTCAAGTATTCTTAATATGTAAGAACACCTTTCATGATACCAACAAAGGGCAAGGCAGAACAGTTGAAAGCCAGTCATCTACTAATATCCTTTGCTCCTCTGGCTTGATCTTGTGGCACATAAAGACTCTAAAATACTAACAATTAAAAAAAAATATGCCAGATATGCTCATTTAGGAAGTGATTAACCTAGTGACTAATCCACAGTCCATGCTAGTAGTACTGTTAATTATTTGTGAGAGACTGGAAGAAATGCTAAAAGACCACTGATGTGGTCTTTTACTAAAGGTAAATTGAAAATTCCTCTAAAATTAATTTTATCTGAATTGAAAGAGTCCATGCTCTAGAATGGGAAATTGTTCACTGGGACTCTGTCCTGGTTGGGTTTGCCTTCTCTCCTTCTCAATTGTGGCTTTAGAAATGTTTGAAGATTTTGGAAGTATTTCCTGACCTCACAGTCTTTTCTTGGGAGATTCCTCAGAATAGGGTTACCTACCTCTACAAGTTACACAGGACTCTCCAAAACAGATTCTTGGAGTTCTGCTGTTATGATCTCCTAAAAGCCTGCTGCCACTGACATGAGAGAGTCCGTGAATGAAAGCAGGAACAGGAAAGCTTTTGTCCCAGGTGAGGCTGGGATTTCTTGCTAACACAATTAGCTGTGTAAGCAACAAAGATAACAAAAAGAGCTAGTCATATGGCAGTGCTAGATGTTTCCTGCTTCCCCTAGTGAAAAAAGAATAGCAGGTGTAGTGCAAAGAATTAAGCAGTGTGTTGTTGCCAAACAGATCTTGAAAATGTAGAATGGAAAAGAGTGCCACCCAGAGCTACTCTGTGCTGTGGAAATTTTAAAATTTCCTCTTTTCTAGAATAACAGCTTATTTGAAGTAAAATAAGCATCTTAATCAATCAGTAAGTCAAGAGGAGGTAGGTGTAATTGTGCTGGACTTGAATGAGACAAGTGGGCTCTCTACAAGTTAAACAAAAGCCTGCCCTGCTTCCCTGGCTCTGGTTCTCCTGCACAGTGGCATAACACTGGATCTGTCCTTACAGTCAGGAGCTTTTAATTGCCCAAGGTCCAGTCAGATTACTTTCATTTCAGTCTGTGGTTTGAAAGGCACTTCGACTTGGCAGGAGTTTACTGCCACATAGATGAACCTTATCAGCATTCTAAATCGTTTTTCACAATTAAACTCACCTCCTATGTTGTTCTTGTAAGTATTATACAACTCTTTTACTCTTCTGTAACGGAAAGCCAGCTTCCTCATCCAGTCAACCCCTCCTCTTACACCTGTTGGCAGACAAAGGTTTGCACTACTTGCAGCTGCATGGAAGCCATCAGTTGCAAAACTGTAGGTACTGCAAACACCCAAAATACAGCAAAAATAAATACAATGTATTCCTGTAAATGCTCAATTTATTTAATCTTTGTAGAGAAAAATTGAAGCAAATGCTCTATCTTACCTTAGGTCTTGTCCATTATCATCAGAAGAAACATCATCTATGTGAACTTGATCACATTCCTGTTGAAAAAAACATCAAAAGATAAATTATTTTAAAGAAGCCTATGCTCACCATATATATGCTCAGTACAGATGTTGAAGAAATGATTGTTGCAGGCCACTAACTCTACCAGAAGATGGCAGCATATGTACACTTACAGCTTCATACCATCATCAGTTTCTTAAAAAAAAAAAAAAAAAAAAACCCACAAATTTCAACTACATTGAACCAATCAGTTAAAATAGGTATTTAAAAAAGTGCCTTGTAATTTTTTTCTTCCAATAACAATTATTTTAATTGGAAAAAAAAAGAGCAATTATAAGTCTCCATCTCTCTAGCATATCGATATTCCAAAATCACTGAAACTATATTTCCCTGTTCCCTAAAAACTAGAAATGTCGAGCAAGTCTTCAGGAATTTGAATGCTTATCATATTCCTGTCTCGATTTATCTGAATGTCTTTGGCTAAGAAATCAAAGATAATCAAAGCAGACCTGGAGAAATGCGCTATTTCCTGGTTTTGGAGAGATGCAAATAACTCCAGGAAACCAAGGTACCTGTAAATCTGAACTCCCTTTCAGTCTGTTTTTATAATTCGGTACCTCTTCTGCGCAACAGTTACAGAGAAAAACAGGTAAATGTAGGGGAAGCTCAAATAAATAAATAAGTAATTATGCAATGAGTCTTAACATTTTCTGAAGTTGCTGTAATTAATAACCTTTCCCAAAAGACACACCAGAAATTCAGTGCCCACAGAATTTTCTCTGTATAAGACATTTTTTTTTAAAATACTTTAAATAGCTACTCTCGCATGATCCTAATTTTATTCATGAAAAAGTTCAGGAATGTATTTAAAAATGACTCCCCAGTTAAGGTTTACAGATAATTTAGTCTCACCACTAAGACAAAATATGGCTGAACTTTCAAAGTGCAGTTTTATGCTTTGAGTAGAGCCATCAGATTTATCCACTTCAAATAATATTGCCAACATGCAACCTTAATTCAAACCTCCAGTAAAAAGCAGTACATAATCCTGATTTTCAAATCTCATTTGAGTATTAGTGCTAAGCTACCAGATGAAGGATAACTCTGAGCAGAGAGGTGATTTCCAATTGTGTGTACGATGAGTTCCTAGAATTTACTCAGGGAGCATGATTTTGGCAAATTACCATTTCTGTCCAAGGTTTTGTTTGCTTTGCACTCAATGAAAACTTCAGTAGAATTTTATCCATGTGAAGTTATTTTTTCAAAATATCAATTAGTATATAAAATAAGCACATAGAAACCAGCAATCATGTTAGTGTCAAGACCAAAAGAATGAGTGGTCAAAGTCTGCTCATCTGACTTAGTCCATCAAGACAAGCATGAAAGACCTGCATTCAGGGAAGATAAACGGATGAATCATTCTTCTCCCCACTGGAGAAATAAAATTTGTTGGCTCTGTTTGCAGAGATTATCTTAAGCTGTAGAATATTTTAAAGAAGGTGCTTTTGGATGTAAATAGCAGATGAAAAGAGAAAGAAAATGAGAAGTGGCAGTTGAAATAAAAAATTTGTTTCTTTATCCCTATTTATTATTTACACTCAAGAAAAAATGCAACTGGATTCCATTCAGTGTAGGAAAGGAGTTCAAAAATCAGACAAAAAGTCCCACTGGGAAAAAAAATATCTTAATATTTTGCAATATCTGAGCAGTATCTGGCTTCCTAACCACCTTTCACTGGAACTGGTCAAAGCATAAGATAATTAGAAAAGTTTGAAAATCAGTCCTGTGGATTTGCACATGTACTGATTAATTGGAGGGCACACAGGCGTCTTCATGGATAACAAGGGCTGTCTGAGCTGTTTGGGTTTTGTTCAGTCATTCAGCTATATTGTTCCAGCCTTGAAAATTGCAGATAACTGTTCCGCAGACAATTTAATTATTAAGTTTAATATGAGTGGGTGGCAAAGGCTCAGCAGTTTGCTGGTATTTTTTATCTCACAATTAGATTATTGACTCCAGCAACAGAAGAATAGGAGAACATGCAGTTATCTGGTTGCTTGCCTCTTGTTCCTGCAGTAAGGTCACTAAGTTTCCAATCACATAAAAGGACTGAATTTAACAGCATTCCTCAGCTTCCCCCTTCTTCCTTTTCCTCTTCTCCTCTCAGATCTATTGCTCATGTCCTCAGCAGTCTGGCAATACTTGCTTCCTGACTAACAGCAAACTTATGTGCCCCTCACTCTTTGCATCGTTTTATTTTGTCTTCTTATTTACTTCAAGTAATATGTTTACATTTTGCAAATTCCCTTCTCCAGTGTGAAAAAGAAAACACAAAAATAGGCAAGCAAATAGGAGACAGTTTTATAGTCTTCCCAAGTGATTCAGAAAACTGGTGGTTCAATACTAGATCTCAATTGCTTGTAAAATAGACCAAACAGTTGCAGGGAGGAAGGAAAGGCTCCCTGTCAATTTAAATGTTAAGGTAAAATGGTTTTTGCAGCATCTACAGTATTTTCTATACTCAACCCACAGTGGCTTTCTGTCAGTGCAAGGTCAAAGCTAAGAAAGATTTATTTCCTAATACTAATTGTATAGGAAAGGAATCTAGATATAACAGGCTTTTGCTTGAAGCAATACCAATTTAAATTATATCTGAATGCAGCTCACAAAATCCTATTTAAAATATGGTAGGATTACCATACAAATAGAAATGTAATTCAGTTTATTTGAAATAAATATATTTTTCCTTCATTATTCTAGACAGTGGAAGGGGATTATAGAGCTTGAAGACTCATGGTTGAGAAGTGAAGAAAATGTTTTTTGTGTGAGCATAGTACGTTCTACCAACATTTCTGAAAGTTGTCATAAAACTAATACTGAGATAAAGACAGAAACTACCATTTATTCCTTACCTGCTTGAGAACTGAATGTTTTAGACTGGATACTGTTACTGAGCTTAGTCCCAGATCTAAACGTTGTTTAGGCACATGAACTTTCTAAAGCACGAGACTCCTATTTTCATGGCAAAATACCAACTGCCCTCCCAAGTGATATTTCTCAAGCTAAGTAAAATTTATACACTGAGAATGAAATATCTGGAGTACAGCCTAGCCTGAAATAAAACTACAGCTTGGCTGATTAGGACATGGGTTACTGGGTCAGCAGGGAATGTCTCAACAGATTGGAATTTCTGCATCAGCAGTCATTGTAATGAGACACATTTGCATAGAGGAAGGAAAACTTTATTTTTGTATGTGATAACTTTCAATAACTTGGTTGTTATTACTAGAGCTTGGTATGCAGTGCTAGTAACCAAGAAAGAAAGGGAAAAAAGGAGAGCTAAGACCATTCAAAGAAATGACTGCCGTCAATGCTAAAGGAATCTGTCTTCATTAGTACATTACAGTTATCACGTCCAGTGACATGTGGTTTATGGTGGGATGAGGATGTAAGAAAGAAGGTGTGAGACCTGATGGCTCGGCACTAGAAAAGGGAGATAGAAAAAGGGTAAGTAATCTGTCTACTGAATAAATGGCCTATCTCACTTCCCCCAGTAAGAACTAAAGGTTTTATGCCTTGGTAGCCATGACCATAAGCAGATCAGCACCAACCTCCCATTACCTAGGGGAGGACAGAGGGAGGAAGACAGAAAGAGGGACGGAGGGAGAAAGACAGAACTGGGGAATGCTCAGAATTCATCACTCAGTCATCTTGCAGATACTCTGCAATATTTAGTGTTCAGAAAAGGCCATGTGTTCTGTAAACATATTTGAATAGACAGATCTGTTCATCTATATATTAAAGGATATCTCTGTGTACATTGGTACATGATACCATGCTTGCAAGTACAAAGTTATTTTCCTATCTTATTTGCTAAAGAAAATCTGTGCACATGGTTCATATCAGAACAAAAAGTTCTTGGAGTTTTGGTAATCTTGGAGTTTTGGTAATCTTATAATAGAGTTGGTTTTTGAAACAAAGCTGAATTCTGGGCTCAAGAAGAATTAATTGCTTATGAAAATTTGTTTTAATACAATCTAAAAATTCTAAAAAATTCTTAAAAAGAGTCTGCAATTAGTATTCTTTGATATATCTTACATTGAATACTCTTTGGATACTGTTCAAGCTCTGAAAGGAACTGGAGTAAGACTTTTTGCACAGGATATTAAGACCATCCTATGAAGAATATACACAATGTGGTGATCAAGATTTGCAAGTCACCTGTGGCAGCAGAACCTGAGAACTACAAAGAAAATAAGTAGAGAACAGAATGAAGCTTCAATGGCTACAAGCGAGACAAGTATATAAAGAGGTGGAAGCTCCTTTTTGCTGATCTAATCCATGAACTCAGCACAAGTTTGAAGAAATCTGGGCACATGCTACTGAACGGCTTAAAGTTCATTGGGTGCCACATGAAATCTGAATGTACAGGGGTAAAGGTCTGCTAAAAAGAAATTTAAGCAATGCTTTGAAAAATTGATTTGGAATCCAACCTCGGTACAGGGCACCAGAAAGAGAACGTTCACCGAATGCACTTGCATTGTCAAGTGATGACTCACTTAGACTGCAATAAAACACCAACTGGTGAAGGAATATCCAGGGTTTTACTTTCTTATATGTCTGCTGCTGGAAAGAATAAGTACGGCACAGGTATAAGGTGAAGTAGATCTGTTTCTTGACTTGAAAATTGTTGAGAATAAATGAGATCTGCAAGGCAGGACAAAGAACCTCATCCTGGTACACTTTGCTTTTGCTACTCCTGCAGCTGAAAAAAGAATAAAGGAAGTACACACTAAGAAACAAAGACTTCAGTGAATGGAGAAATCTCAATTATCCTCATTTTTTGTGATCACTCACCAGAGACCTTTCTCTGGCATTTTACACTAGATCTCAAAGTCTTCCTGTTGTCATCAGTGGCAAAATATCTGACCATGGAGGAAACTCTGAGATCCACTCTGAGCAAAACAACAACTGATATAGATCAGAGGAAGGTCTGAAATGCCTGCGGTTCAATTTAAAAGTTGTTTTTCACCTGCCATCTGTTCCACAAAATAAATTAAAAAAAACAACAACAACAACAAAAAACCACAGCTGTAAGACTGTCACATTCCACGTTAGCAGATACGGACTCCTGGGCAGAAATGAAATGACTGTGAAGCACTGTCAATGGGTCTGCACCCCAGGCAGTTGCCCCTTTGGCGGTCCATCTGCATGCTTCCAACAGGCAAGTGATCCACAGTGGTCACTCCCCAGCTGAAGGTCCCCCCCTTTTCTGAGCAGATGCCAAATGGCACACCCCGGGTATCTTGTGACAAAACGTGTGGTTGCCTGGTTACCTCAGGAAGAAATGATAGGCAACCAGGAGGCTTCACATTGTCAGGATGTGACACACTACACTCTGAAAATTTGAAAGCCTGTCAGATCAAAAATTTTGGATGGAAACTTCTTTCTAGATTTTCCCCTTTTATCTGGAAGGAAAAGAAATAAGAAAAAGATTTAAAAAAAAAAAAAAAGCCACAAGCTTTTTTACAACATTTGATAGTTAAGAGGATTTGATATGCAGAAGCTATGTCTGAATTGACCACACTCATACATATGTGAGGCTTCCAGAAACTTGGTGGCAAGTGTCAATCAAGTGCATGGGATAGTCAGTGAAGAACCCAAACTAATACTTATGTTATTAAGCATGGCTTACTGAAAGTCTTCCAGTCTCTGAAAGGAATATAGGAATATAAATGAAATCACTGGGAAAGTAACTAAAAGTGTAATGAAAATATATGTATATATGGTGATTTCAGTCTTTGGACTCAGAAAGCTGATATAACCCTGTGTTCTCTTCAACCCTTACGTTTTGGTTTGCTGATTTGGATTGATTTGCTGAACAGTTTCAGTCTTTTAAACTTAAAAATAAATAAATGAAGGAACTTTTTAACAGAGTTCAGAAAAGTGTCTCTGTTAGTTGATATGGAAACTGAGACGGATATAGATTTCATAAACCACTTCAGCATTTTTCAGAATGAGCCATTCCTGTCTATAATATTTGACTTGAAATTCACAGTATTCTTTGGGGAACAGAGAAGAGAAGAAGATGGCCTACCATATGCTCCTCTATTATAACAGCAAGACTTTGGAACTGATGATCAGAAGAAAACTGAGACTGTGTTCTCAGTTTGTGTGGCATTAGAGACAACACTGATGAATAAATCCACCATAGTCACACCTCTCTAATTCTGCAGACTTTGAAGTAAATGAAGGATATTCTTACTTTGAGTAAGAAAGTCAGACATGCAGTCAAACAGCTACTTGCGAACATAAAGAGAAGAATGAAGTCGCTTGGTTGAGATGATGCCACCAACTCAAAGCAAATACAGAGAATTTCAAGAGAAAGAATGGGAGACACATACATCCCTCTCCTGGAAATCATAGCAGACAACACCAAATCCATGGGCACTGAAAATACTGCCTTAAGACAAAGATCTATCCTAGAAAGGAAGGCGTAGCTTCCAAATCACCCCTTTCACTCAATTTCATGGAAGGACTCTGTTGCCACAGGACTTCACAGACATCTCTCCGTGATTAGCATATGACGTTCTCTGGAACAGCATATAGCACCACACATAATAAGCATTAATGCACAGTAAAACCACTGTGTTGACACCCCAGGTGTAACAGTGTTTATGTTCCCTTGATTCTTACCTCTAAATCATTAAAAAATAAATGTGTATCAGCAAGATTAAAAATCATTTCTTCCATTCGCAGTCCAAGGGTCACCGCCATTGGTGGATCCTTAAAAAACAGAAAGTCAGATTAGCTATTTACATACCTTAAGTTATATCACAGTTACTTCAAAATTTGTTGTATACAAACTATTTTGAAAAATTTACACTGCAACAATTTTCTTTCTCTAAAATTATTTCAGCATTAAGCTATTTTAATATAACACTATAGGAAGAATTTGCTGAATGTGTGTGAGAATATTTGGAGAGCTAGGCATGTTGAAACAACAACTTCCTAGAATGTCAAGGCATTTGTAAACTGGCTAAACTATGTCAAAGGGGAAAATTTGGTAGCCTAATGGAAAGCTGAAAAAATAAGGCTGTAAACAGGGAAGATATGTCTCACAAATTACATCTGTAAGGAGAATAATATTTATTATAATAAGAACATACTACATTTTTCATCCCTGAATCTTTTATAAAAATATGCAATTATCTTGACTGTCAATTTGTAGGAAGAAAAAAAAACAAAACAGCCAGGGAGCAATAACTAACTTTTTTGAGCCCACACACTATCAAGAGCAGAGGCTAGAACGAATTACTCCATGTGCTACCTGGCCCACTGCACAATTCCTCTGATTGTTTCGTTTGTCTTCCAATTTTTGGATACCTAGGAGTCCTCATCAATGTTAAACTGGGCTAGGAAAGGTAGCAATCTCTACCAAATTATTTTTTTGTAAGTGATTATCCTTACACTTCAATAGGAAATAATGATTTACAAGGTCTTTTCAATTTCTGGTATTTTTACTCCAGAAAAATATAGAAGGCAGTCTGCATCTGAACCCTCGCTCATTTTTCCAAACTAAATTTCACTTTACATAGATCATCACTGCTTTACCTATCCTTATGCCTATATGTATCAGTTCTTTCCCATACTTGCTGCTGCTCCAGTATTCATCCACAAACCTTTCCATTCTCAATATTTACTCTTCTTCTGTGCAGGTACTGATGAATTTCCTTGATCTCCATTATGATTTTATTGCAGGTATTCTGCAAAGTGCCTGCAAGTGTTCTTCTACATGTTCTTCAGCGCATCTACAATCTATGGCACAATTCCTTAGGTGGTCCAAAGTGGAGGGAAAGCATATGCAAATTTGACTGTTACAGATCATCCCTTCATTTGTTATGAGATACAGGATTCCTACCCCCAGATGGGAGTCATTCAAAATATTTTTATCTGGTTGTAGGTCAGTTTTCACAGTATCAAATCACACAATATTAGCAAAATACCACCATTTTCCTGGTCTGAAATAGCGGTTTCTCTGGGAGCCTTCAGCATGCAGCAAACGTAAGGTAATTAATTTGACTTTGCTTGGCTAGCTAGGAAAGAGGGTAATGCAAGTTACACTGTCTTACGCTTAAGGATAAGAACACATGCAGTATAGTTTTTGATGACTTGCTGACAGCTGGTAATTAGTTATTCCACTGCTTTAATTAACTCTTGCACTTTTCAGGTTCAGATAACTTTTGTATGCTTAAGATACAACAATGGTTTTCTAAAGTGAATATGATTTCTCATTTCATTAAGAAACAAAACCTAAATTTCATACCTTAAATTGATTGCCAGTAGTGAGTTTTTAGAAATATTTTGTTACATGCTTTGAGTTCACAGGTTTAAAATTTTACCCATATGTTCTTATCTGACAAAAACAATAAAATCCCAATACTCAAAATTTCAAATGATCATTTCTAAGTATTAGGATCAAAGTCTTCCCAATCAGGATCAGATGCCCATTACTCCAAGACAGAATAAAAGATGGCTTCTGCCCTGAAGCACATAAAAACTAATGGCAAAATCTGAAACATAGACATATTTTGACCCTTGCTCATGAAAAAGTCAGACTTAAAGAGGAGAATAGTGTGTAAGAAATTGTAATGATCCAAAGTTAGATCTAATTCTCAGGCAGTGAAAGGAAATATTTCTTTGCTGACCTTTGAACTGGTCTAGACTACCTTTCAGAAGTAAAACTAAATGCAGTGTCTAGTAACATAACTTAATCCCCTATGTCTACTGCAGTCATATTCCACAGATTTGAAAGCCATGTGGGTGAGGGCAGCAGCAAACGTAAAGGTCAGTTATCCAATGGGATGATTAAAGTATGCACATTAACAGATTTGCAAAAACTCATGTAAGATACTTAGAACACAAATCACAAAAATAGTCTGGACTCATGAGATTCCTCATCAAGTCATAATGCTTTTATCAAAATGTCATCACATATAAACATATGTTTCTCTCTCTTTTCTCTTACATTTTTTTCTCTGCACAGAAAATTATGTTCTTGTCCTTAAATACAATATAATAAAGAAGTTTTGCAATGTTTTTTAACCTCAATCCTATGAACAGTAAGGCATGTGCATAACTTTATGCACAGGTGGTAATTCATTATTATTTATGTGAGTTAAGGTATTCACTGGAGTTCTTCCAAGACTGGAATCTTAGACTTTTGATTCTCAGCTCTCTTTTTTCCCCTTCCTGGGTAGAAGTGGACTGAAATGCGGAAATATGCTATAACATATTCCATTATAATCCAATTTATTTTTATAGAAACTACCAAATATGTATCACAATTTCCTGCCTTGCCCAGTATAGTTGAGACATAAATGTAACATAGCATTCATGATTTTCTTATTAGTAGCATTTTTGTAACCAACTATGCCTAACTTTATTACTGTTAAAATGAGATTTCCTACATTTCTGTTTTGAAAAAAGCATGTGGAGGATATTGCTAGGTACTGTATGTAAAATAAAATAAAGCAAAGAGATTCCATTACAGCGTAGCATGAGATCAGTCTGGGATCTCCCAGCAACAACTGCTGAGAAGAGTAATTGGAATTGAAGTCTCAATTGATAAATTTGCCCAAACATTCACTGCAACCATTTAACAAGAATTATACACCAATTTCTATCTCTTGCCATGTAAGTCCACCCCTTCAAATGTAAAAAATAGAAGAAGCAAATTTGTCAGGATCTTGTGATTTTTGAAGAACATCTCAATCTTTATTTTACTGTCTTTCAACTCAAAGTAGCACGAAGAAATAAGAGTTGAAAAGAAAGAGAGAAATGTGCAGCCGATAGAGATTTGAGCACAACAAATTGAGAAACTGAATAAAAGGCAGACTGAACTTTTGCCAAAATGTTGCTTCTGCACAAAGCATACACAAAAGCGGAAATAACAATAACAATAATAATAATAATAATAATAAAGCCTGGAAGTTTTCCCCAGATAATTTAGAGAATAAAGAAACACAATTTTTTGGCTGTCAGAGGCATGATTTCAGTCAGATATCACTAGCATGCAAAGGAAATGACCAGTTACAGAACCTCTGTCTACCAAAATGCAAATTACTTCAGTTATGTTAGTATGAAGGCTCTAAACTGGAGCCAGACTATCTGTGGACTTCTCTACTAGACAGGTCCATCCACCGGAATGTCTTTTGGGAGAGTAGGTAAAAATATCCTGGGAGACCCAATATTTATGTGTTTTGTTCAAGAGAAAAGTAGCTTGAATAAAGACCCAAATGCTCAGTGGCCATTAGTAGAAGAAAACTGTTTAATATTATGTTGGAAGGTCTGCTTTTAGCACAAAATGTTCAGAATAATTTTATTTCTGTTGAAAAAAATGCAAAAACACTAAACTTTTACACAAATCCTTGAATAAGAAATTGGTAAATAGTCAGGTAGATTCATTTTAGCATGAATTTGTACGCAAGAAGCCTTAAAAATAAGCAAGCAAGCAAACAAGCAAAACATGTGAATAATATTACAAGAATAGATTTTCAATGGATGGCTGTCCTGAACAGACAACAGAAGCGACCTCTGGAAAAAGTGGAAATGCTTAAGTTAAATTCTGATATTTTTAGCTAAAAGACTCTTCCTTAACATTACATAATAATCTCACATTTAAGTTCAGGTCTCAAAGTCCTATAGGGGATGCTCATCCCCAGGGGAGTTTCATGTAGGTGGCAACAGAGGAAGAGAATACATCTCTTAATAATCATATCTGGTCGCTGATGAAGGAAGACTCACGTACTCCACAAGGAGTTTCTGTTCCGTGCTCTCCAGAAGGCAGTAGGAAAATGGACTCAGAGGTCTCAGACAATGAGGGAGTGAATGGAGAGCACAACTGGAAGTCATGAGAGATACATGATTAATATAGAGAGACGAAAGCATGTTTATGAGTGTACTTGAGTGTGTCATAATGTGTACTAATGGTGACAACCTTCTTCTGTTTAATGCCTGGACAAGCAGAGAATGAGCAATAAAAAACCTCTTAGCTCATTCCAGAGAAGTCTACAAGGTTAATGTGGCCTCCCTGGCAACTTCATTTCATTAGCAATTCTATCAAAATGTCACAATGCGATCAGCAAATGTGGTTTTGTTGTGATATTTGCACTTGGTGGTCATATTCTCACCCTCTCAAGGGCAATGGTCATCTTTCACATTTTTTAAACCAGTTACACTTTAAGTCATGGCATTTATCTGGGCATCCTTGACCTCTGGTTTGACCTGGAGGAAATGAATGAAATATACATGCTCCAAGGAAGAAAAACTCCTGCTTAATCAGCCGTAAGTCAGCAAGACTAACTGGAATATAATAGAACAAAGAATACACGCTGTTCACAGGGAATAAGAATGTACCTCATAAACTTTAATAGATGACGACATCTAACACATGTCCTGTCACATCAACAAATCCTTGCTTAAGAGTTCAGCATTGTAGAAGAGTGTATCTGCCAACTGGTGCTCAGCTGCGAAAACCATCATCAGCCACACATATAACAGCTCAAATGCCAATGTTCATGATTTACTACTGCAGTAAGTAATTAAAAATAGAAATGTACCAGTTTTAAAAAGTACAAAGCAGATGAGCAAATGAGATGAACACTGAGAGCTACTTTTTACCACTGGAAAGTAGCAAAGTTGAAAACTAACAGAGGTATAGTATGCAAGTATTCTCTTCTTGCATTACCTAGGACCTAGTCTGATAAACTAACCAAAAGTCAAGTGGGACTCCAGAGAGAGAAAACAGCCAGAGAATTGTTCTCTGAATAGGTTTTATATCTTAATATTTTAAAGTGATACATAGAACAGCCTCTGGCCAAATCTATCCCCCTTCAGTGGAGTTCAACGTTATACTCTATTGGTGCATAGGTAAAAGACAGCAGCTTCCTGGTCTCTCCCTCTGGCTATAACAGCATGACAGCCCTCACCACATATTGCACTCCGTGCACAGACAGAAATGCATGGAGCGGAGACTAAAATACTCATTTTTTAATATTTTTGTTTTGCCCACTCACTGTAAAGGTAAACAGCTACTGAAAAATGAGAATGAAAGCTTACATGTCAAGAAATAGATGATAGAGAACTGAAGGCAAATATCTTTGCCTGTCTATGTATTTGCAATGGTTCTAAATACAGCATTTCAATGTCTGAAAGTAAAAGTGAGCATACTTGGTATAAACAGATACCTTCCCTTTAAAGCAATGTTTCCATTAAAGACTAACTAATCTCATTTTGAATTTTTAAATACAGAGAAAGGTGAAAATCAGTGTTATTTTTGTTTGTTTGTTTGTTTGTTTTTGTTGTTTCTCATTTGGGAGTAAATTGATCAAGTTACACAAAATACAAATAAAAAAAAATACATATGCACAGCTGTGTACCTGTATGACATTATACCTTTTTTTATTATTATTAAATAAAACAGAGAACAAATAATCAGCATTTTATGGTACCCTGTAGGAATAACTGCTCCTCCAGCACTTACTGAAAGACCAATGTGATCACAAGACTTCCACTGAGAACCTCATAATTCACGGACAATTTATCTTCATAGCAATCTCATTCTCATAACACTCCAGACATCAGTGTGGACTAAGACCTTGTTTATGGATGAACCTCACACACAGAAAAGATAAGGGTCGTATCTGCCAGGGTCATGCACCAGGAGCTGACTGAGGTCTAGCTGTGCTGTCTTTCCCGTCTCCCGCAACTAACTCATAGGCACTTAGGCTCAGACACATCTCAGCTTTAGGCAACACTGCTGTGACATGTGAAAGCTAACGCCTACTCAGGGTAAGCTCTCTCTGTATTCCCTTTCTTACTGCCCTCATCTATTGTTGCAGTCAGCAACATACATATTGCAACGTATTTTCCTAATAAGCTCTTTATAAATATGTTGAAGGTAGTTACTGTAGGGGAAAAAAAGCAAACATAAAGTCTGCTATTTTTCTTTTACAGTCTTTGGAAATGAGTACATTTCCCAGCTTGTATGGATGTTGCTTATCAGTACATGGTTATTTGTGACAGTTCTTTACTAATGCTGGTTTCAGCAGTAAAACTACATTAATTTAACTTGCCCTTGAGTTTTTCATGGGTTATACAAGCCAATTTTATTTGCTGTCAATACTACTGGCAGTTAATATGCCATTACTGTTTCTAAGGACTATTTATGGAGTGTCAATTATAGAATTATAGAATCATAGAATCCTTAGAGTTGGAAGGGACATTGAAAGCTCATCTAGTCCAACTCTCCTGCAATGAACAGGGATATGCATAGCTAAATCAGGTTGCTCAGAACCCCCTTCAGCCTGCCTTGAATGTCTCCAAAGATGGGGCATCCACCACCCCTCTAGGCAACCTGCTCAGTGCCTCACCACCCTCACTGCAAAATACTTCTACCTTACATCCCACCTAAATCTATTCTCATTAAGTTTGAAACTATTTCCTCTTGTAACAGAGGAGTTCTTAAAAAACAGTGATACTGGGATATTCCCAAATACACTCATAGCAAAGTGAGAAACCAAGAGGAATTACACTTCTGTAGCTACCTCTAAAACAGTTTACAAAGTTACCTGTAAGTGCCTGTGAATTAAAAATAAAAGATCTACTCTTATTCTTAAAACTATGTACTAGTTTAATCAGGCTTTGCTTACATAGCATGTGAGGCGTTACAAGACAGAAACGTCCTATGGGCACATTCACATGAGGAGGGGATGAAAGAAATGACATCATTGCTGCAAGTGCTGAGGCAGTCTATCAGCTGCACTCACAAGTGATACAAATGTTCCCGTTCAGCTAGGTTTCTCTCTTGATTTACTAGTAAAAAATTAGAAATGGTACTGAAAAAGTTACAGTTGTTACAGTGTTTGAAAAACAGCAGAAGTTTTTGACAGTGTACTGAAATGCACACTGATTTGGCAGCACGAAGCTGCAATACAAGCAGGAATATTCTGCACAAGACATGAATAAATACTCTTATCTTAGGATTTCAGAAAATCAGATTTTTGCCCAGGCCTGTGAGCTTCCCCTTAAGCTTTTTTTTTTTTTTTTTTTTTTTTAATAACCACAAACAGCTGTCTTGAAACATGGAGGACCTGTCATGAAACACAGCCCATCAGTGATTATAATATACAGGTTCTGGCTTTGGAAATTTCTAGCCAGTTGGCTGAGGAGGTTGGATGTGGAAAGTGTTTCTCTAATATACTCTCTCTCACAGAATTCTGTCAAGCAGATCGTTTTGGCTCTTTAAACAAGCACTTCTGGCATAGCATGGACATAAATATGTCCTTAAGAAATACCTTTATATTAATTACATTTGAATGGCACAGAATCTAGAAAACTTTTGGTATCCCAGTCTATTTTCCTCCCTAGCATACATTTGCCCTAATGTTCTAATTTAATTCTGCCTCTCTGGGAAGCCCACGACTGCATGCTGGTTTTCCCCCCACACCCCTCCTGCAGCCAGCGGGGCTCACTGCTCTCTCAGCAGGGTAAATCTGCTCCAGCAGGCTGTGGCAGCCAGCCTCTCTCTGCCTCCTTCTTCTCCCTCACTCTTCCTGCTGCTTTTCTGCTTGCTGCTCTGTGACCTGAGTGCCTTTTGGATCACCTTGCAGAAGAGAGGATGAATACAACTAACTGGGAGAGGGATTCACTCCCTAGCATTACTCATCTTACAGCCAGCCATGGGCCTGAAGATGCAAAAAGCTGGAGCACCAAAGAATAACACCTACAGCTGGCATTTAAGCTGTCTTACTCTTTCTAATTTATCAGTTTTGCTGTATATTCACCCACTGCTCCCATTTCTTACTTCTTCCTCTACATATCCAAATACTGACAGTTGTTTTCAGTTGCCCATTGAATATATTATGTCTGTGGAACATCTCTTCCTATGTGCTTCAGTAACCTCATCCTTGTTCCTCTATAAACTCTTCCCTCATTTGTAACATCTGCTTCAGCCTAGTTTTATATACTATGCTTACATTCTGTGTCTCATTTCTTCCCTTAACTTTTTCACACCAACCTTCTGAAAATGGGGTTCACTGTATGCTTTTCCTCTCCCTTCACTCAAGCTATTTTTAAACCATGTATGTGTAAATCATGTATGTGTACAGCCTAGACATCTTGTTACAGTGAATCAGTAAATAATTCATGGATCACATACCTTGCCATACTTTTGTGCATAGGATCCTGTAAGCAGCGAATGAAAAACTATGATTGTTTCATCCAAATCCCATACAAATACACGCTGAAAACAGAAGTAGAGACAATATTAGTAAATAAGTAACATCAAAATGCCCCTAACCTCCCACCCAGGGCAGCTAAAAGTCATCTTACTTTAATTGTACCTTAACTAAACAGGTTTCCTCTGAAAACTGGCAAGAACAGGATATGTGCATCTATTGGTAAGAAGGCAGAAGGACTGTAAAGCTTAAGCTGCTCAAACAGCAGCAGCAGTGTGCTCAGCAAACTTCTAGCAAAGGTCAGTCTTCTGCTGTGCCAAGGGTGTTCTGTGAAGACACAGCAGCAGGGCTGCCCAGGGCTACCTGCTGTGAGTGGCAGGAAGCACAGCACGCAGGTGGGCAGCACTTTTCTCTGATGCCAGTGCTTCACACATGGGCACCAAGATTCCTTCCCCAATGTCACATTAAGGCTGCATGCTGCTAATGCAAGAGCAATAATACTATAATTACCCATTGCTAAGAGGTCACCTGTGTTTTACATCATCACCCCATGTATTAGGCAGATGCATTTCTTCACTGATGCATCAAAATTGCACATACTTAAGTATACCATAACTTCACTGGTGTCAGCTGCCTCACTGAAATCCACTGACATTTGCTACAGCTTAGAGACCTGTGGATAAGTATTGAAATGCTATGGCCAGATGATCCTGTATATTTGTACTGTATTCTTAAATAAACATAGTAACACTGAGCAACATATTTGATATCTCCTATTTAAAAACAAACAAGCAAACAAACAAAAAACTAAAAGAAACAGCTTTTTGCATACACAGTTCTGTGTTTCTATTGCACAAAAAACTGAAAGATCCACAATCTTAGAGCTAAAATGTGAAAAGCTGAATCACATTTACTTTTCTAGCTTTGTCATAGACAACAGTAATGTCTCATTGCATGTGTATGTTAAAGCAGCCACTAATGGCTGTTATATTCAGTTACTGACATGGAGTGCATGATGTTTTCTAAAATGCCTTAAGCTATTTCCACAGCTGTACTTTTCAGAATTTACTTTTCATCAGAAGAAACCTCCACATTACCATTCATCAATTACTACAGGCATACCTCCAAGTCACTGTCCGGAGGGGGTGATGGATTATTCTTCCGCCCTCTACCCCGAGACTTTGACCCAGAACTCCTACATGTTCTCTCATCAAGATCTTTGATTGGCGTGGAGGGGCTCTGCACTGTGTCAAACTCCCCTGTAAAGTCAACCATTCGTGGCAAAATTAGTGCTAGATTTTTCAATAATAAACTCTGTTTTTCCAAAGCTAGACACATCTGTATGCAAACTCAGTTTAAGGATGCACCTAAATTGGTTGCATGAAATGAGTGATGTGCAATTTTTCCCATGTAAAAGGAATCTACAGATGCAGTGAACACTTTTGACATTGCAAAGGAAATATTATAAACGTTAGCAGAGATGTTGCAGGTATGTGCAGACATATACATAAATACGCATAAGCACATGCAAAATATTCACAGATCCAAGGAAGATGTATTTCAGAAATCATACTAAAGAGTTACCAAAACATAAATTCACTTTTAATTAAAGTAGTTCATTTCCCATGTTCAGAGTTCAGCTGGAGTTATTTCCAAGTCCTGTGTTGCTTTTACCAGAACACCCTCTGGTACTCATCCACCTACCAGGTTATTAGGACTGTTTTATCTCCTCCTCCCATGTCACCTTCTATTTAGTAGACTTTTTTTTTCCTACTTTGCCACTGCACATAAATTGGCAGAGAAAAGTCACACTATTAAATGCAATATTCCAGTTACTATCAGAAAAAGTATAAAGTCATATTTGCTGTGGTATGATCATCCTTCTGTAATTATCAGATACTGTCTGATATTCACTTCTCTGCAAAATAAATTTCCCAAGAATCATCTGTCAGACATCAGATCTGAACAGTACACATTTTTAGTAAAAAACGTTATTAAAATCACCAAGGTCCACCAGGCAACAGAGGAAGTGGCCAGTTGATCAAGAAGAGTGATTTTTCTGCTCCATTAAGAATATGCAAAACCATGTCTAGAAAAATGACAAGTTTTAGGATCCCAAGTATAACAGAGAGATTAACAAACTGTAGTTAGCCCAGGTGAGGGCCACCAAGACAGCTGAAGAACTGGAGCACACAGGAGGAAAGGCAGAGGGACTTTTCAGAGAGCTCTATAGAGAAAGGACAAGAAGGAAAATATAGAAATTATAGAAAATATAGAAATATTAGCCAATATTCCTCTTAGGTACAAGAAAAAGTTATTCTCATAGAGAGTGGTCAGACCCAGGGACAGACCCACAGAGCTTATGTGTTCTCCATCCTCAGAGATACTCAACTGGACACAGTCCCGAGCAGTGTGATCTAAGTTGGCTCAACCAAAAGGTATGCAGAAGTCCCTTCCAACTTAAATGATTAAATGTTTCTACAGTCTTCAGAGTCATTCACTTTATTTTCCCTCCCGAACAAAGAAGAAAACAAGTGTAGTCTAGAAGGATGTAAGAAGAAAAAAAGACTGCAATCTCAACTGAGAATCTGTGTGCAATATAATTCAATAGTTAAATTCTTCACCTCTTCCATCATTTATTTATACCTCACAGTGAACTACATAGAAGATTATTAAAACAAATATACTAGGAAGATATACTTATATATCTTGATTAGAATAAAGTACTCTTGTATTTCTTGGAAGAGTAAGATTTAAGACCATAATGTCACATTCCTGAGCAAGAACTCTAGCTCTTATGAGAAAGGAATTCAAGATTGAAGGACCGTGGAGAACAAGAAGAAAATTAGTTCCCAAGCCCAAGGTTATGATATATACACAGGTTGCTCCAAAAGTAATGCCTCCTACTTATTTTCATGGAAAAACAACAGCTATGAAGAGCACAATAACAATATTTGATGGAACAAATTGTCAGTTACAAAAAACTGTTTTTCAGCATAGTCACCACCATTAGCTTTGAACTTTCTCCAGTGTTGAATAAGAGTTTGCACGCTGCACTCATAAAAACCTCCACCAGTGAAGGTGACCTTCTGTTTCAAAGATGCTATACAATGTTGTCAGGAAAATGTAGCCCATGAAATCCATCTTTCATTGGCCCAAACAGGTGGAAATCAGGCACCAAATCCTGACTATGTGGTGGGTGTGGTAGGACAGCCCAGCCAAGATTGGCAACGTACTCCATTGTCTTCAAACTGGCTTGAGGCCTGGCATTATTGTGTTGCAAGAGAAAAGTTGTTTTCTTCTCTGGCTTGACTCTGGGAGATCGATCCTTCAGCTTAGTCAGTGTCACAGAATCACAGTACTGCAGAGGTTGGAATGGATCAAGAGATCATTGAGACCAACTCCCCACATAAAGCTGACTCCCTGCAATAGGTTGCACAGGTTGGTGTCCAGGTAGATCTAGAATATCTCTAAAGAAGGGCCTCAACAACCTCTCTGGGCAACCTGTTCCAGTGCTCTGTCACCCTTATCATAAAGAAGTTCCTCCACATGTCTATATAGAACTTCCTATGTTCTAATTTTAGGCCATTGTTCCTTGTCCTATCACTAAACACCACTGAGAAGTGTCTGGCCTCATTCATTTGTCTCCCACCTTCCCATAGTTATTTACGAACTTTAATCAAATCCCCCATCAGACTTCTTTTTTTCCAGGCTGAACAGATCCAGGTTACTCAGCCTTTCCTCATAAGGGAGATGCTCCAGGCCCTTCATCCAAATGTAGCAATCGAAGTTAATCATTTGTATAAATTACAAAAAATCCAGACTGGTCATCCCTTTCTCAACCCAAAAGACAGTGCACATCACTACCCACTGAGGGCTGTGTCTTAAATTCATGTATCACTCTCTACTCCATGGACTGCTGTTCAGACTCTGGCTCATAGTGGTGACACCCAGAGTTGTCACTGGTAATGATGTGATCAGGAAACTGTCACCTTCAGCACTGTACTGGTTAAATAGGTCCTGATAAACTTGCATATAGTGTTTTTTCTGTTCCTGTGTGAGCATTCCTGGATCCCACACGGTGCAAAATTAGCAATGTTTCAATTCTGCCACCATTGTTTCAAATACATTCAAGCTGATATTCAGCTCTGTACACAGTTCTCTGGTCATAATCCACTGATGTGCACAGATGAGCTGGTCAAGATGCTATTAATTTCATGGTGTCACATCTGGCGGTCCAGAAAATGGCTTATCTTTCATGTCACTCTTGCCATGGCTGAAACATACCACCTGCTACCTCACTGTGCTCACATCCACTCTTTAGTATCCATAAATGTTCAGCAGTCATCAATGAATGTGGATTGATTACATTTTTTGAGGAATTCAATTGTACACTTTTGCATCATATGCACTTCCATGTTGGATGTCATTCTGTCATGCTGCCCCTCTGCTACCATTGGTCACATTGCAGCAAAATGTAAATGAATATTGGTGAGAAGATTCAATCTCTACTGTCATACCACCAACATCCCCTAATTTGTGGGCCAACATAATAAAATAGAAGAGATTTCTTTTGGATTAGTCCTCATACCTAGAAGAATATATCTGAAATCCATTGCTCTTTCCAAGGCACATTTTCCATTTAAATGAATGACTGATATATATAAAGTATAAAGACAAATTTGCTTTCATGACTCAGAATACTAATCCCTGCACACCCAAGTGGAAGACAGTGGATTCTTCATGAAACAGGAGGAAATCAAATCTTTTTCTCTCTCCCTTCCTGGAAAAGTACTCAAGTTATTCTGCTATCACGTGGAAGTAGATAGTACTATTCTGTTCTCAAACTATATCATGATGACTTCAGTGTTGCAATATCAATCTGTGTCTCTGCTTGTACAGAATACAGCCAAACTTTTAGGCAACAGCTAAGAAGAGATCTTCAGAAAAGTAGTTTGAGAATTTATTCCAGATACAATCTTCAAGATACATCTGTCCTGATTTGGAAAAAGCATTGTATATGTTCTGTAGAATTTTCTCTTTCAGCTGAAATTCTTATCAGGGAAAAAAAGTTAGAGAAATTAAGCAGCAATAATAGTGTCTATTGAAAAATGTTCTGTTGGTGTTTTTATTTTGTCCCTTTACAACTGAGAGCAAGAGTTCTTGTTGACTAATCATTTCTATTCCCAGCATGGTGTTGATGTCAGTAAGGACACTGCAGGCACTGGAGAGATCAATAAGGTCACATTACTTTAGTTCTTTCCCCATAAATAGAACAGCAGAATTTAATTTCCTAAATGTAAAAATGTAGAAAAACGATGTTTCAGAATCACATTACTTAAGCATCAAAAGCCTATTCTTCAAAAGAAGTTCTGAGTATGCAAGATGTATGTACAATAATATAATTTCTCAGATTCCCTAACAGAGTGAAAAAAAAAAAAAATCCCAAAGCAAATTCCAGCTATGAAAAGACAAAAACTATATAATTGAACATATATGTTAATATTCTTATCACAACTTTTTCAGATTAGAAAATTTCAACATTTTACAACAAAGATTCATTTCTAAAATAATCCACAGTAATGTACTAGAACATCTGTTCTCAATGACCATGTTTAATCTACCAAAAATAAAATATAAAAAGACTCTGTTCTAAATTTTCTCTGAAATAATCTAACCACTGAAATAAATAACTTCAAGTTTCATTTAACATTAGCCATTACCTGTTGCCCCAGGCTTCTGCTTGGGTGCATACTCATTGTGATTGCATAATTATCCATTAATCAGTACTGTAACTAATCACTGTACCTTCTAAGTTCTAGATATTTAGAGCCAACTTTATTTCATTAACTAATCTCTAAATCAGAATGAGCAGCTGTCTCTTACTTGAATGCAAGGTATGCATCTATTTTAGAATGCAGAAGTCTAGTGCATGTTTTTCTGAACAACTGTAAGCTTAATTGCTTGATTTGCTTTTTACCAACAGCAGACTAAAGGAGCAACTGCTTTTTTTTTGTTCTCAGTTTACTTTAGAAATCAGGTCAATGCTGATAGAAGAAAAACTTACTCAAAATTCAGCCATGTAAAAAATGTGAGAAATTCTAGTACCAAAGAGCACTGAAAACCTTCCCTTCATAAAGAGCTCCTACTGCAGCTCGTATTAGACAGAAATTTTATTGCCATGTTTGAAATTTTTTAGCTTTTCCAATATTCAGCACATGCCTAATAAATCCACTCCTTAACTTTCTCTCACTGGAAGTAGGAGCAGCATCTGAGATTTCATAAAACAAGAGGAAAATGTCAAAACTGGAACATAGAATGACCACTTCATCACAGATGTTCATGCACATACTCATATCCTGGTTCAGGTTCAGCAAGAGGACTTACATGCCTTCTAGCAGCTCTAATTAAATGTTAGGGAGTTACAACACCACGGTTACAAACGGTGGTGGTCCTTCCTATCCAGACCATTTTTTCCCACCTGTAGTTGGAACAAGCATTCCCTCCTTCTTGTTAAAACACAGCTGTGCCACTTAAGCAAGAGAAAAGAGGTGTGGGCATAGCTCAAAACAAGTGTTCTATGACAACATGTTCTATGACATGTGTAATGGGAATGGAAAGCTACTACAACTGGCTTGTGTGCGTTTGCATCCTCCTCCAGGCGAAAATGTTACAGTCACTGGGACAGGGAGCACTGACACTTCTTGTCAGTGAGACTTTCATTTGTGTCGCTCTCTCTGTATCCCAGAAGCCTAGTGAGTGTGCTTTGATCATAAAATCAATAAATTGTGTAAATATTCCTAATTCTCATCATAAGTCCACAAGCACCTCAAACAAGCCAAACATTTGCCAAGAATCCTCTTTTTTAATAGAGGCAAAGCCCAGAAACATAATGCGTTGCCACTTCTTACGAGTAGCAGAGAATGTAATGCAGAGAGTATCAATTTTCATCTCATTTTCTTGGTCAACAAATAAAGAAATCTTGATCTGATGGAGCTTTGTTATTACAAGAAATCCTTGTAATATGTGGAGAGTATTAGAGGTTAATGTGAATTAACAGCAAGCAAAGATAGTAGAAGGGTGAAGTGGCTAACTGTTTAATCTTATGTTTTACATGAAGTAACTCTTAGGATTGAGCAGTGCAAGTGCTAGACAGCAAGTAAACATGGTGTGTACTGAATCTCTGATTCAAGTCAGTGCATCCCACTGATGTAAATTTATTTTTACAGTGACACACAAGGGCATAGGCATGCCATGTATTCTCAAAGTGGGTGTTGCACTCTCAGCAAAGGGTCTCATGACCAGTTCAACACTTGACAGAAATAAGGAATGAGTGGGCAGGTTTGTAAATTCAGATGCACAACCTACTTAACAGGAAAAATGGTTTGTGGATTAAACAGTCCACAAATAAGAAAAGTATTTATTGTTTCATAGATGTGCAGCCTTCAATATTTTTGAACCTACTTAAGCTATGTAAGATTCCTTTCTTTTTTCAGTGCTATTTGATACCAAGGGAGTCTGTAACACATAATACATTAACACAGAATTTCTAAGAAAATGGAAGGGAGAGACAAAGAAGGGAGAGGGAAAATTCTGTCTGATTTTCTCAAATAAAAATATAGAAGAATAAGACTGAAATAAAGATCAGATATGAATATACTTTTAAATGTAGATTATGAGTTGGCTCTATCGTGAGTGTTTTGCAACTGTTGGAATTTCACTTAAGATATCTGTTAGATTCTCTTCCTAAAATTCCACTCTGAGACAATTTGCATTTTCACCAAAAAACAATGGCATGTGCATTAGCCAGAGAATTTGTTGCTTCATTCCTGGAAGTGTTTAAGGCCACGCTGGATAGGTCTTTGTATGATCTTATTTACTGGGAGGTGCCCATGGCAGGAAGGTTAGAACTAGACGGTTTTAAGGTCCTTACCAAAACAAACTGTTCTATGATTCTATGATCTCTCCATACCCATAGCATGTCATGCCACCAAGATACATGTGCATGCATAGATAGACACCATTTTTAAATTAAAGTTAGCAGAGGAAAACAGCTGGAAGAAAAAAATAAATCAACTCATGCCATTAAACTTGCCAAAGATTTTAGTGAATTTAAGCAGATTATATGAAGTATGAAGCCTTGTCTATACTCTTCTACACAGTACTTCCTTCTTTGTACAAATTTGTTATTATAACACAACAGCTTTATTGTCTAACTTTTCAGTTAGATTTTTCAGTTGTTATGATGAGAATTAGGAATAATTACACAATTTATTGATTTTATGATCAAAGCATACTTTCCCTTTTCAGACCCTAGTTCAAAATCCAGTTCGTTACTCTATTGATAAATGATCACAGCCAGTGGGTAAGACGGACATTTTACCACATTGTACATGTGAAGGCAGTGTCCCCACCAGATTGCTCCAACAGTGTTATGCAAGGTAGCTGGCAATGATCTCTCTTATATATGCCATAACCAGCCTTAGTGAGCTATTTATGACATGAATATATCATAGAACTGGGCTAGATCTTTAAGAAATTCCTGGAATAATGTAAGTTATACACGAAATTGAGCATGAAAAGCAAATTCTTTTCACAAATGAAGGGTATCACACACCTAAGCCATTTTCATGTGTCTCACCTAAGAGATTTTCATGTGTCTATATTGTACTATGCATTATTTCAAAAACGTAAATTTATTTACTGTAGTGAGAAAATAAATAGGTGAGAGTTTTGGGAACTTAGAAATTCCCAAGTCTAGCATGCAAAAAAATATTCCTTGTTAACATCTGCATTTGCTTGACAGGAATGGAGAATGGAGCAGGCAGAGGACTGCGAACTAAGTTATAAGGAGAAAAAATGAAGATATCCAGCAGTGATGCCCTAAGAACACAACTATATAACTGTGTTGTAATGCATATGCACGAGGGGGCAGAGTTGGGCAGGCAAAATTAGCCTCCTCATTTCTCCTTGGAGCTTTCTCTTTGTAGCTTCAATTACTCCATTTTTTATTTATTTATTTGGTAAAGCAATATGCTATTAACTGATTGCCCTATTCTTACTAACCTAAGTTTGTGTATTAGCAACTATGGCTTGATATAATGATTGGAGCATAATTAAATGACAAATAACATCTTGTTTAAATAATTTACAGTAACACTTCTGAATATGGAGGTGGACAGTGGAGTGTCCCACTGTCAGTAACAGTAGAACTGACTGAATTTTTGGTTAAAAATTTACTACTACAAGACCATTGCATTGCTTTTTTCAACCTACTCCTTCAAAGAAAACAACCTCAAACTGCAAGGAGTTTTAGCTAACAAACAAATTACACAGGTCTCTTGAATAAGCATACAAAAAGGGCTTTTTTTGTCCTTGAGTTTAAAACAGTATAAAATCAAGGCAAAAATACAGATCTTGGCTTCATACAACTACAGGGAAAAAATGTAAAAATTGTTTTCACCTGAATGCAGATCTGTACCTGGTTGACTAGTCAGGCCAGGGAGAGATTCCTGTAACTGGTAGGTTGATGATGATGATGAAGTGCCATCGGCCGTGTTGTTTGAGGTCATATATGCACCATATGTTGATGCTGAGTAATACTGTGCATACTGGTTTTGGCCAAAAGCTGTGTATGATGGATAATCCTAAAACAGCAAAAACAGTTAACTATGTAAATGAAGAAGTAATGTTTTCATTAAATATTTCTGCATGCAGTGATGTGATTTATGCAAAGAGCTGATAGCTTTTAGTCTAGATTTTTTAACTTGAGAAAATTTACTAAACAATTAAAGGGAGATTGATAAAGTATTTAGGTGCCAAAAGATGCAAGGATTTTCAATGCTTTCCACAGAAAACAGTACTTAACTACAGCAAGTCCAATTCAGCATAACAAGTCTAAATTGAAATAACATTCCATCACTGGATTTACATAAATATTTTTTTAATGCACAAACAAGTGTTGATATTCGTACCTGTTGTGAACTACTGAAGTTCGTGGAATTTGAAACAGAATTGTTTGCATAAATAGTGGATGATGGTGTAAAACTAGAACCTAAAATTAAAAAATATGATTCATTGCAAGAACATGTTTCTGAATAAAAATATAATTCTAAATACAGGATTTCATGTTAAGACATTAATGAATTGGAGGAGCAAACAATTTTTAGTTTTCTATTTAAACAAGAAAACATCTAATGAGCATAGATGAAGTGCTGCTTCCATGCATATAAGCATACCTTCTTTTTTCCCACAATAGAAGAAAGTTATTGGCAATAAGTTGTTGCAGTGACCACAAAATCATTTTTCAATTTATTACAGTGTCTCACTTTTGTTCAAATATTGCTATTCTCTTTTTACTTAATTGCCTAAGTCCTAACATTTCAGTGTTCCCTTATGAAGCAAAAATCTATTTTTTAAGAATATTTAAATGATCTATGTATTTTAATCAATCTGTTATGAGGCTTGTCCATGTTTTCAACTTCAGATGATTAATACAAAGTTTATAAGATTTAATATTGCATTAAAAGATAAAAAAGTATCATTGAGCAAAAAGAAATAAATCACAATTGCATAATAAATGAAATACTAAGTATGAATTACAGAGAAATTGTAATAAATTATTTTTTTTAAAGGGAAAAGCATCAGAAGATGTCGTACTCAAAACATGTAAACAAAGGGAAGTGACATGTGTTCCCCAATAAATACAACAAATGCTTCCAGTCCTGCTCCATAGAAAAGTGAAAGTGTAGATGGGGACTGCATTGCATGACCAGACCTAGATCCGCAGATGATAAAAAATGAACATATATGTGTTGGAAACACATATGTGTTGGAAAAACTAATTTTAAAAAAGTAGCTATATTTTAGCGATAAAAGTAGCTGCCAATGACAACCACATTTGCTAGAGCTCTGAAACATGAACTGAAACTGTAATGAGGAAACAGGGGCCACAAAGAGCAGCAAGGAGAGATGACACATAACAGCAAGGGCTACTCACCTGGCATCTGATAAGAATATGGTGTTTGGCCTGGCTGTGGGGTGGAAAACCCTGGACTGTAACTGAGGCACCCACTCTGCAGTGGTGACTGTGTCTGCGAGAGCCCACTTTCCGTCTTGATGCCTGGCAACATTACACCCAAATCTGTATAAGAAATTAATTTTCAACTGATTCTTTAAAATACTTTCTCACAGTGGGGAAAATAAAAATAAAAAAAAATAGCAAAAATGTTCACATCAGCATTTATCTTACATCTACATAAGACAAAGTAATAAGAGGTCAAATACCGTAAGTAGGTAGGCTGTATGGCTGTCCTGTCTGTGAGTAGGCTGTATAGACTGCTGGTTGCTGCATTCCTGAATACTGGGTTTGTCCGGCATAGGCAGACATTGTTTGAGCTGCTGGTGTAGAAAGAATGTGTGGATAGGGCCTAAATATCAGGAAAAATAGCATTACTGTGGCAACAAATACTTTGTAGGTTAATTCAAGCAATAAAGAAAAAGGTATCCAAAAGCAGTTCATTATTCTGCCAACTCCTCTTCTTATGGGAGTTATTCTATCTCCCACTGAAATAAGCTAAAAAACTCCATCTCACATTCCCCAAGGCACTGTGAAAATTCTGTGCTGTCCCATCACCACAATTTAATTCTTAATATTCTGTGTCCATCTGTAGATGAGCTGTGCCACTGCTGTAACAGTTTTATGTGGATTTAACCCCTTTGAGATAGGAACAGTACACTTAAATCAGAAAAATCCTCAAGCTTATTTATCCAGTGCAGGGAAACTTGGACTGGAAGAATAAATGAAATACAGAGGAGAACACTGAAGTTACTACCTTATGCCCTCTATAAATGGTTCTGCTTCATCAGATATCTAGCCTCTGGCTTCAGTGGGAGAAGCATAGAGAGAAGCATGAAAAATATTAACAGCAACACTTTGTTAACCAGAAGGGGTTTTAATGTTTGGGAAATAGAATGGAAATAAAAATGGTCTTTAATTTATAAATACTGGGGTTTTATAGGGAAATTGAATAAAATCAAGTTTTAAATTTTTGCCCTCCAGAGTTGCAAAAACATACAGAGAAACATTTGTCTTGGATTGTTTTGTAAGTCAAATAAGATTTTATGGACCAAGAGCTGAATAAACATACTCTGCAGAATTACACTTACTGAAATCTGGCTATTAAAAGCCATGACTAAATTTCAGATTCTAATTTTTTTTTCTTTTTTTTTCTAATTAGTTCAGTACATTTGGCAGCAGTTGCTATCAGAAAAGAATTACTCATTAATTTAGATGCCAATAAATTATTACAGTAAATTAAAAATTCTATTAAACATTGTAATGTATTTGGCCAAATGTATGAAATATAGTTTGCTAAAATGTGTTTTAAGTGGAATAAGGAAGAATGTTTTTAGTTTAGACGCCTACTTTCTCAATCAATAAATACTGGCTAACGTGATACGAATGCAAATTTGGTGAAGAAATTTTAAAAAGCCTAATCAGGTGTAGTTTTAATGCTTTCTCAGTATCAAATTTCAAAGTCACATAGGTAGAGTATCAAAAGCACTGAAAAAAATATATGGTATACTGAAATCAAGGATACTTGTGCACAACATCACATGTCAAACAAGTCAATAGGCTGCCCATTACAGTAGTTTCATAAAAAAATCTTCAGTGTTTTCCATAAAGTTAAAAAAAGGAAGAAACTTCCTATTCCTAATAACCCTGCTGGCTTCTGAATAAATACATAAATAAACAAACACTTTTTTTTTTTTTGAGAGAGAGAGAGAGAGAGAGAGAGAGAGAGAGAGAGAGATTGAATCTAATCCAATTTAATTTACTTTGTTTGATATTTTAAATCTTACAATATTGGAGGAGGAAAGGGTGGTTTATAATTCTGGAATGTTTGGAACTATTTGGCAATGCTAGTACTGGAACAGTCTATGACATGTTTACCGTTAAGTATGCATGTTGCACATGCAATTGTGATTTCTAAATATAAACTCTCTTCCTCAAAATATGTCTGTATGTAATGCCAGCACTATTAAAATGCTGATGTGTGAGAACGTCAATCTATTTTTTTTTTCCTTCCACTGTGTGTAGAAACTCAAAAGATATTTCTTGTGCAGCAATACAGTATTGCACAAAGTAGATGTTACTCCGCATCCATGAGAGACAAAAAAAAAAAATGGACATAGAATTGTAATGGATTCATTATGGAGGTTTAAGTATTTTCCTTTCTCTCCCTTTCTTCTGCTGATCAATATATGTTCGCAGAAAACCACAGAACTGCCTATAACCAGGGTCAGTTCGCTATACAGGATTACAGTAGGTACAGACACTAACTTGGAAGGATATATCTGCGGAGAGTACTGGTGCGCTGATCTTGGGCTATAGCCACTACTTGTTATTACTGCAAAACAGAAAACAAGAGTACAACAGTTAAAAACGGTATGAGAAGAATATAGCCAGTCTAAATACTACTGCAGTCACGTTAGCAGAAAATCTAATTGAAATGGACAGCTTTTACATGACATATACGTCACCACAACCGTAGTATCTTCATACACATACCAAAACGTTTGGCAAATTTCCAGACCATTCATTCTTTACTGAACTCTTTAGTTGTTGTGAACATTTTAAGCTTAACAGGCTTGTTTCTGAATTTATTGCACAGGCATATAATTCACACACGATCCGTGATCCACACACAATAGATTTTTCAAATTTGCATGTTGTATTAAAATTAGTAGTTAAAAGGAATCTAGTGATTTAACATATCACATTGCATGGGATTGAAAGAACATGCCTATACTTTTAAAGTCTCATATTAACAAGTTTAATTTTAATACTGGATAGTATTAATAGTGTTCCATATAGGTGTTTCAGTTAGCTTACATGATGAGAGATATCCAACTGATCACTAGGAAATGAATACTTCTCCTTATCAACAGGCTGATTAGAACACAGACACTACCAAAAATAGCTGTATTTCAAAAGTAAGCATAAAAAGTTATGTTCAGTAGCCATCAAAATTATATATGTCTACACCACGAACAGCTGCATTCTTCCAAGAAAACTAACAGAACAACAGTCATATCCCATTAAAATTTCATTCAAAAGCAGTGCTCACACTGGATTAATTCCAAGTGTTTGGAAGTTTCTCTTTCCTTTAGCCATCTGTCTTGACTAAGACAGATGTATTCCAAATATATGTACTCTAAAGGGTTGAACCAATCCCTTCAGAGCAAATCCATACTGGGCAAACATACAGAGTGTCTTTATTAGGCCATCTGCTGCTCATTCACTTTTCAAAAGATTAAAGTAGTACACAACGAAGCACTGGAATTTCTTTAGTCTAATCAATCATAGTTGTACTTCAAAGTGTACCCTCTTCCTGAGTTGTTCATAATGGTAGTAGCAATGAACTTTCAGAAATATATAAGTGACAAATAGGTTTAGGTTCCTAACTATTTTATGAAACATGATATATGTCTACGTCCAGGTGTAATTAACATCTTTGAGATCTATTCCTTTGAACATATGCAGAACTTCATATTTCTGAGGCTACTTTAAACACATTTAGAACATGTAGGATTTTAAAAGGAAAATACAGTAGGAAAAACAACAACAAACACATTAGCTTCTTTTTTAAATGTGCAGTTGAGAATGGCTTGAAAATGAGGAAATGGATAATTTTTTGAACACATGCTACCAGATCTCCTAAAAGAGTTGCTGATTGAAAAGATATTAAGGGATAATCTGCAAGGGAAATCTGCTGAATTTAATATTATATTATTGGATGTTCTTCTCTGAGAATGCCTTCCAATGGTTTAAGCTTATTTTCTAAGTGTGCATAAAGATATCCTCAGAGTTAGATGAATGTATAGCTGTATATAAAAACAGAAATAGCTCGTAAAACCCTAAAGGATGTTGTTATTTATTTAACTCCTGAAGAGTAATTAGTCTTAGCCTGTTCTATCACTGTGACCTTTCTGAAGACAAACAATAGCTAACAGAATGACCTTGGTGATTCCCAGGGCAAGGAATTTTCATGATCCATTACCAGCTTATCGGATCCTTTTTGACCATACTGCTCCACTTTTTGTCTATTGTTTGCTGAATGACACATCACTTGATTAATCAATTTGGTTAAAGCACATTTACCATTCTACTACAGTAGGCATAAATTACCAAAAAAGAGAGAAAGAGAGTAAAAGAGGGGGGGAAGGAGAGAAGGAGGGAGGCAGGGAGGGAGGGAGGGAGGGAGGCAGGCAGGCAGGCAGGAAGGAAGGAAGGAAGGAAGGAAGGAAGGAAGGAAGGAAGGAAGGAAGGGAGAAAGGAAGGGAGAAAGGAAGGAAGGGAGGAAGGAAAGAAAACAAAAGATAGTTTATTTAGATCACTTGAGTTATCAGAAACTAATGTTTTTCTGCAAAAAACTGTCCTTCCTGTTTTTTAAATTCTTTCTGTATATATATATATAAGAAAATAAAAAACAAATTGTGTGCCATTCCAATTAAATAGCTTTTTCACTCTTTCTCTGGCAGTCTTTTACATCAGTTTTTGCACTGCATTTTAGGATGTGGGATATTTGAGAAACACAGGGTACAAAAGCTGGCATACGAGAATATTATGACTATGTATCACAAGTGAATTATACCGTAAATCCCAGCTCAGATTGGTAATTCCGAGGTTTATCAGAATTCAACAGTTGTCTCTGTTTTCAGAATTATTCTCCTAACCCTACTTCTCTTTGGAAGGGAGGATTAGCAGTAGGGGAAGTGGTAGAGGCAGGATGTTACATACTTTATAACTTCTTAATAACTTTCTAAGCATAGCTTTCTGTAGCCACTTATAAGAATGGGCTAGTCACCATTATACTGTGTTATTTATGAGAAAATCAAAACTGTCTCTTCCCTGAAAAACTCAAGTATTTCTGAGATTTCATTATTTAACTTTACCTGCTCTTCTGGGCAGGTGTAATACCCTTGATTTCTCAAATTAAAAGCTATCAAGCTGCACACTTCTGAAAAACAATAGTCATATTTTGCACATGCCCTGGAGAATCACAATTCAGAACTTGGCAGGTAAATTCTCCATTCAACGGACCCGCTTTCTCCAGAGGTGGAAGTTCTGGCTGATCTGTACCACGCAGAGTCCCAGCATCTCCAGCCTCAATCCCACAGGGAGGAAAACGTGGAAGGTGGAGTTTCAGAAAAGGCAGTAAGGCCTGAGAACAGATGCATAAGAGTCCCCTGGGCTCAAAGTTTGAGGATGGGGTAGGAAACAGGTTGAGGAATGAAGGTGCTGGCTAGGAAAAGAGACTGCTGGCCTGGGTTGGCTGAAATTGAGAGGCAAAAGTTGCAGTAGATATGAATGTGACAGAATAGAAAGAGGAAATGAGAGAGATAAGAAGAAAAGCAGATGTAACTATGCCCTCTAAGGAACACTCCCAGCAATAAAGTCTGCGAGAGCTGAGGCTTGATACATCACCGGGGATACATCCCCAACCTAACAAATGTTGATCCACAGAAGAGAAAAGAAGGTGACAGCCAGCTCACTATTTACCCTGTTAGCTCAACTGGCAAAGATAGCAGTAGAGAGCTGAAATAACCAGAAATCATGCTGATAGCATGTGCTGGGTTCATCAAATCATCACAGACTAAAATTTTGTATTTTTCCATTAATCATCTGGAAAATTCTGTGTGAAGAATTAGGTTAAAAGGATTGCATTTAAACAGCAAATTTCAATTTCTGCACAAAAGGGGACCAGACAAAGGTATGTAGTGACAGCGTTTCCTAACCTTGCCTTTATAGCCTTTAGAATTTTTTTTTAATATCCTTTTTGCATGTAATAAATTTTAAGTAACAAAGACAACAAGAACTTCAGATGTTTCTCTCCACTCCATTAAAATTATAAACAGTTCCCAAATTATTCCAGTATCCTAAGCAATTTAAATACAAAAATGCATGCATTCGCAATACAGCAGCTGTAGCAAATTCTTGGAGCATAAAATTGCTCATTTAAGACTGTTCTGCAATTCTCCACACCCTGTAAGTATCCAGCCCTACAAGAGCCTGTTACAGGATTGCAAAGATTCGAATTGAGTGTGCTGATAATAATTACCAACTGCCAGTCTTTGAGGGAAAAGATGGAGGAAGAGGGTATACAGTATGACTACCTTGTCACCCTGAGCTAAAATGCACATCTTTTTCCAAGGGTGTCACTCTGCAGAAGGATGAGACCAAAGCCCTGATCGTGGACAGCCACATGGCAGCCAGGGCATGGACACTGTGGCAACTCTCTGTGGCACTCTCATTCTAAATTCCATGTTTTATTTTTCAACTTAATACTAGATACGTGAAGTTTCTTCTTTAGTATATTCGGTTTTTGTTTTTTAAAATGTGACTTGAGGCTGGCACATTCAGCATAAATTTGCAGATTTATCATAAAACCACAGGCTTTCTTGAAGGCATCTCTGATTGCAGGATGCCAAGGATGGAACAAACCTAAGTGTTAGACAGTAGTTTTAAAAAGCTGCAGTGCTCTTCTGTCAAAAATCAGGGTGCATCGCAGTTACCTGCAAGGCCTAATCTGTCTCTGCTATAGTGTGACTCATGCAGTCTGTCATCACTTTCTATGTTAAAGCTGGTCATTAGGAACAGAGCTGGCTACTGTACACATAAAGAGCTTGTTCAGCCTTACGCTCAGCCCTAGAACACATCACAGGTTTTTACTGCCCTTGGAGCATGGGAATCACTTTTCATGGGGAGAATATGATGGAGAGAAATTCCACATGGCACTTTTAAATGAGCCTCATCACTATGTGATTTTATTTCATAAAATATTTAATGATGTTTCTAAGTCCTTCTCTACTTCACAAAGGTTGCTTTAGTTCTTCTGACCTGTTTGTACAGGACAGAGTATAGGTGCTATCCCTCCTAGTGACCTATACGTCCAGGCTACATGTTTGAAAGCTGCAGGAAAGTACTAGCATTACACTTTGTCATGGTAACACAAAGTAACACAAAGCTGTGAGTGATTTTTAGTAAAACACAATATTAATTGCTGGGCTTTGCTAAGCATTGTTTTCAGTTGCAGCTGATTTGTCTAAAAATTTGTCATCTTTCTATTAGTTAGTGTTTGTTGGTTTTGGCAACACATTAAACATACCAAATCATCACTTAGATTAAAAAGTCAGAGGAATACTTTGTGTGAGTTTATATTGTTTTTTACAATTTCTGCCACAAAACTGAAAATTTTCCAAATTGCAAGTAATAATAAAAGACAAGTAATGGATTTACACTTTGTGAAAGGCTCAACAGGTTAAGAAAGCAGTTCTGCCTCACATATAATGATGCAGACTGCTAATCACTCTGACAGGCAGACTACTGATTTCCCACCGTGAGTCATCATACTCATTTAATACTTGAGTTTGTGGTCTACAATGAGAATTGGGGTCATTTTTCATTTGAATATGTAGGCAGCTAATGGACAAAAAAGACTGTAAAGCTCAAATTCTTTCATTTTTGGTGGCGCCTTTTCCAAATCTTTAAAGTGTAGAGATCTCTTGTGCAGTCAGTGGAAGCTAAGAGTGAATGGCATCCTGTGAAATCAAACTGTTGTTTAGGTAACTAAGCATGAACACGGGACTGCAATTTTGGCACCTCCTTTCTGAAAATGTTGCCTTAGCCATGTTTTTACACATGGGATCCAGCTCAGGTGTCTTAAATACATGGCACAAGCTGATAAAATTTCAATAACAATGCCAAACTGGTATATAGACAGACATTTTATGACCTGCACTTATAACATAATTTATAATATTTTAGGGCAGAGTAACAATAGCCATGGGAAGGGGGAGAAGGGAGAAGGGAGAAGGGAGAAAAAGAAAAAAAAAAGGGAAAAAAAAAAAAAGGAAAATAAGCAGCTGATTTTTAGCAAAAAGTTTTTGTTTTTTTTTTTTTTACATAATTTATTAGATTTTAGGTTGATGGTGTTCCTTTCATAATGAGAATAATGTTTTCATTCCTACTAATCAGAAGAAGTATACGCTTGCTTTACATTTCACAATGGACCTTTACTTCACACACTTAAATTTCAACACTTTCCTGAATAATGAACTTCAGAGTATGTCTGGATTTACTGATGCCTAAAAGCAATTTTGGAATCATACACTCAGTTTCTCTGCTTTTAAAACATTTTGATTACGCAGAAACATTGTAATTTCCAGAATATTTTAAATGGGTTGTGACTACCTATGTCTACCAAAACCCACAGCATGGCAATTCTTGGCTTCAGTAAAATTTCACTCAGGCTGCTACTGAGTTGATATTTTCAGATATGAAATTAATTTTCCCTTCTCTCTTATTAGAAGGATTCAGCCTCTTAGAGGGCAGATTTTCTTTAATTTTTTGTCATCTTTTAGTAATTTATAGGAATCTACTTACAAGTTGTTGTTTGTTTCATTTTTTAAAGAAGCAGATTAAATTTACAATTATTTAAACTAAAATATTTACATGGAGACAAAGTAGCTTATGGCAATCGTATTTAAAATAACACACTGTTCATACAAATAAGAAGATCAGCACTGAAATACGACCCTTAATATTCTAAATTCTACAAATTAATACAGCCTTTAGAAATACAATCCATTTTTTCTTCCTAAATCATATAAGACCAGCACTGAGAAAAAGCTACAGCACAATAATAACATTATTATTATAATATTTCAACATACAGGAATGGTCTTAGTCATCATTAAAACTTTTTTATGATTGTAGCTCATGAAAAGTGCATTTTTTAATAGAAATGAAAAAAAGTTACAATTATTATTTGGTATTAAAATGTTACTACATTGTGGCTTCTAAAAGATCACTTCCATGCAGTGCAATGCTCATTAGCGAAGGTTATTAAATGCTATATTAATGTGTATCTAGCAATATGTGATCTTATTATGGCTTTACCTGACCCAGTAAAAGTGTCAAGCGATCCATCTCCAGTTGTTGTTGTTGTTTCATTGCTGTTCATGGGCTCTGTTTTGACTGCAAGAAGAGACACTACATAGAAGAATAAGTAGACATGAGATTTTACTTTTAGATTTTACTAGAGTCCTCATGCCAGTCTCACTAGTGGTAGTCCAGATATACTAAGCATGCGATGAAACAGCTTCAACCTTTGCACTACCACAGCATTGAGGCACTCTACCATCATTCCATTAGGAACGGCCATGCATCCATAGAGCTTTTCATCTATGCATTTGGCTATGCATTGGTTTTAGTAACTGAACTATCTTCTGGGGAGATTTTAGCCTAAATCTAATTGATTCCAACAATTCCCTAAGGGTATCAGAAAGGAGAGAAAAATTAGCTGTCAAAGCATGTAGCACAAAAATAGTTTTGCCTGATGAGTGAAACAATAATTTAATATATTTTCATGCTCATATGGAAGTATATTATTTGTTAGCGTTCTGCCTTTGCCCTTCCCCTTTTTTGCAGCTCGGTCAACAGCAAGCCATTTTCCATAATAGAAGGGTGAAGTTTAAAATAAATAAGTAAATAAATAAACACAAGACCAACAACAAAAAAGTAGAGCACAAACAACAAACCTGAGAAATCAGCTTCTAATTCAGAGGTTACCAAATATTTGGAACCACAATGAACTCAAAAGATTTCTTACATATCATCATGTACCCCTACCATCCAAGCCATAACTGAATGCATCTCAGTGTCAATTCAGCTTCTAACAGATATTCAACTGGCAAACCTAGAAAAACTCTGACATTGGCAAACCTGAACAAGTTACCACCATTGCCTTGTGAAGGTCAGTTACGCATGTTCAGTCGAGAAACAGAGGTATTTTCAGAGGCCAAATACAGCCTTAGCTGTCCTCAAGATTCATTATCCCTCTTAAAATATGTTGAGGACAGTGTTTGAGCTAAACAAAGGATGTGGTTTTCTCATGAGAATAGTGGCCAGAGTAGTACCTGCAGAACCACACTGCTATTTCTCTCTGTGTGATCACAGTAAAGAGCTCAGGGATTTCATAGCTGAAAATACAGACACTGGGTTCCCAGAATAGGTGAGCCCTGAGTGGAGCGTCTCTGCTGACATACCTCAGTCCCAGACAATTGCTTAACAGGTCTTATTCCATTAGGTCATATGGGATGCTGCAGATATTACAATTGCACAAGTGACCTGTTCTGAATTCAAAGGGATGTCTGTTTAGGTCGAGCATGGAAGATTTGAAAAACTGAGATGTGCTTATCTCTGTGATATGGAGGGAGCCTTGCAATATTGCCAGTGTACTAATGTTAATTAAACCAAGCAGCCCCTTACACAAGTTACAGTTATGCTGTAGTTGTGTATTTCTTTTCACTGAAAAGATTTTTTAAAAAAAACAACCTTGAAAGGTGTCTGTCTTTTAAATATAGACTTCTTTCCATCTTTTCTTCTCTTTAATAAAAGTGACACACCCAGTCTATTCTCTCTGCTGGCAACAGCAGTAAATTAATTTGGCATGAAATCATCAGGAAAAAATTTAGCCATATTTTTTCAAGTTGCCGTGCAGTCTTTGTCATTATGCAGTCCTTTATTTTCTGATTTATAACAAAAAAGTGACAAGAATTACCAAATGAACAAAGTCCTTTGTCAGTGTAATCTACTGTTCCCATTTCTCTATTTAAGTGAGAAAGAGGTGCTTCAGGAAATCAATAAAATATATAGCAGAAGAAAATTTAAAGGTCATTTCCAACAAATAACATATCTCTTCAGTATTTGTATATTACTGTATGCAGACGTCTGCATTCTATATTAGAAAGCATCTTATCTTCCCCCTTGAAGACCTTTGGTCATATTTTACTTTATAAATTGCATGCATCTTTTTTTCTGCAGAGTGTGGACATTTACTCATACGAAAAGAAAATCCTACTTCTTAGTACCCTTAATCCTTTCTATTCAATAAAACATTTCAGTATTGTCCATACTAAGCTATAAGCTTATGCTCAGTATTGCATCCAGAAGGACACCTCACTTTGTGCCTAACCTTTCTCTTTAACCAAAGCTTCAGTATCTAATTGAAATGTTTACTTGAGGGGTAAGTATATTTCTGTTTAATGCCAATTGCAGTGCACTTCCATAAGCACAAACATTCACCATCCTTTTGTCTCCCAGTCAAGCAAAAAATGACCTAAAGCAAACCCTTTCACGTAATTAACTTGAGGAAAAACACTGTATTGGCACTGTTCTTTGCTGAAAAATACTTGTTGAAAGTATTTTTGTGTTTGATTTTAAACAGTTCTACAGTCAGATTTTATCAACTTAAGGATCATAAAGATCTTTCCACAGTGTAGCTAGACGTTTGAAGCATTACCTTTTTTTTTAAAAAGGTTGCATATCATTAAAACAAGAGGGGCAAAAAAGCACTGTGATAACTAAAAAAAGGAATTTTAACATCAGATTAAACAGCCAGTAATATTTAAAGCTGAAATCAAAACATAAGCTGACAACAAGTCAAAACACAGCACAGATTTCCTGACATGTGAGCTAAAGCATGGTAATACTACGAAGGCAGTCTCTCTAGAGATAGTGCAAAGATCAAGAGTTTGAGCCATCATTATGAATCAATAGTTCAATGAGAATAAATGCAATATGCTGTTGTATAAATGTGGATTAAGTTTATTAAGTTCTGAAAAATTAAAATATAATGAAAAGCAATCTCAATCTGGAAGCCCACTTGATTGTTGCTGACAGCAAAGACTGCAGATGGTAACAGAGAAGGGTTACCCTGGTGGTCGGGGCAATGCAACAGGCAGATAGTGTACAAGGGCATACAGAAGAAACTGGAGTTGTACAATCTCAAGTACAGCTGAGAGGAAAACCAATTTCTGCCATCAGCTATGTAACAGAAAGATAGAGAGGAGATGAAGAACAAAGCTGTACTCTTCTCAAAGGTGCTCTGTGTGAATGGATAGGAAGCAACAGACACAAGGGAAAAATCCAGTTAGACGTGAGGAAAATTCTTCATCATGAGAGTAATCATGCCAAAGACAAGAGCTCAAAGAGGCTGTGTTGGCCCAGCTGACCTCCAGGAATTGCTATCAAACTTAATTACGCCAAGACTAATTCAGAATACAACCCCCAACAGGCAACAGTTTCTACAATACAAGTTCTTTACCTGATGAAACAATAGGCCAACATGACTCTTACTCTTCCAACCTGTTCTCCTAAATAACCTCTCTGAAAATAAACACTGAGATTTTAGAGGTAGGAGATGCTACAAGACGCTTCTGCTATGCCCAAATGCGGGTAAACATATGTAATAGGTAGGAGGCAATGAGAGATATTAGTTCAAACAAGCATGACTGAAAGCTCATTTTCTTCTGAATACTTTTTTTTCTTCTGTTTTTAGGAAGCCAACAAGCTATGAAAGTTTCACAGAAGACAGCAGCTGAATGTAGTACATCACCTGAGGTGGCTGGCAGCTGCCTGACAAGCTGAGCTCAACTTATAGCTGCACTGTACTAGGTTGGGAGGGCAGGAGACATAGACCAGGTTAGGCAGAATGCCTGAGATGAAAGATGGAGATGGCAAGCAGATGGAGGAAGCCAAGCAGCAGCGGCCAAAGAAACCCTGTAGCACACATATCTCAGTACATAAACAACTCTATGCAGCAAAAGCACATAATATTCCTTAAAGATAGATACAGTAGAAAGTACAGACACAACACAGGTTGGTCTCACTGTGACATATTCAACTAGAAACATAGACCTAAACATGCTATTTGGAAAATCAGCTTTCATTTTGTGCAAAAGGTGATGTGTCCACAGTAACACACGGGCTTCCATAATATATTTGCTCACTATTAGTAATTAGTAGTTAAATTATTTATCTGAACATGTTAAACATTTAACTGAGGTGACAGACTAAATTAGATTTATTTAAACTTAAATTCTTGAAACTCAACCAAGCATTTACATGAAATCATAAAATCATAGAATCATAGAATTACTCAGGTTGGAAGGGACCTCAAGGATCATCAAGTCCAACCGCAGTCTAACCATAGTACCCTCTACAAACCATCGCTAAATCATATCTCCGAGCACCACATCCAAATGGCTCTTAAACACATCCAGGGACAGTGACTCAACCACCACCCTGGGGAGCCTATTCCAATGTTCAACCACCCTTTCTGTAAAGAAGTGTTTACTAACGTCCAACCTAAACTTACCTTGCACAATTTGAGGCCATTTCCCCTCATCCTGTCACCTGTCACCAATGAGAACAGACCAACCCCGCTCTCACTGTAAGCACCTTTCAGGTACTGGAAGACAGTAATAAGGTCTCCCCTTAGCCGCCTCTTCCCCAGACCAAACAGCCCCAGCTCCCTCAGCCTCTCCTCATAGGGCTGATTTTCCACGCCCTTCACCAGCCTTGTTGCCCTTCTCTGGACCTGCTCCAGTACCTCAATGTCCTTTCTGTACTGATGTGCCCAAAACTGAACACAGTACTCAAGGTGAGGCCTCACCAATGCTGAGTACAGGGGCAGGATGTCTTCCCTAGTCCTGCTCACCACACCATTCCTGATACAAGCCAGGATGCCATTAGCTTTCTTGGCCACCTGGGCACACTGCTGGCTCATATTCAGCCAATTGTCCACCAGTACACCAAGGTCCCTTTCCATCAGGCAGCTTTCCAGCCATTCCTCCCCAAGCCTGTAGGTTGCCTGGGGTTGTAGTAACCAAAATGCAGGACCCGACACTTGGTGCTATTGAAACTCATGCCGTTAACCTTGGCCCATCAATCCAGTCTGTCCAGGTCCCTCTGTAGTGCCCTTCTCCTTTCACACAGATCAACATTCCCTCCCAGCTTGGTGTCATCTGCAAACTTACTGAGGGTGCACTCAATCCCCTCATCAGGATCATCAATGAAGATGTTAAACAGAAGCGGCCCCAGTACTGAGCCTTGGGGGAGTCCGCTTGTGAGCGATTGCCAACTAGATCCAACTCCATTGACCACGACTCTTTGGGCCCAGCCATTCAGCCAGTGCTTCACCCAGTGGAGCGTACACCCATTCAGACCACGGGCAGCCAGCTTCTCCATGAGAATGTTATGGGAGACAGTATCAAAGGCCTTACTGAAGTCCAGGTAGACCACATCAGCAGCCTGACCCTCATCCACTAAGCGGGTCACCTTGTCATAGAATGAAATCAGGTTTGTCAGACAGGATCTACCATTTGTAACCATTCGTAAACCCATGCTGACTGGGCCTGATCCCCTGGTTGACCTTTAATTTGTCCATGATGGTTCTCGAGATTATTTGTTCCATAACCTTCCTGGGCACCGAGGTGAGACTGATAGGCCTGTAGCTATCCTAGAATCACAGAATGGTTGGGTTGAAAGGGACCTCAAAGCCCATCCAGCTGCACCCCCTTGCCATGGGCAGGGCTCCCACCTACCAGCTCAGGCTGCCCAGGGTCCCATCCAACCTGGCCTCTCCAGGGATGGGGCAACCACAGCTTCTCTGAGCAGCCTGTGCCACTGCCTCACCACCCTCTGAGTGAAGAATTTCCTCCTAACATCTAAAGCAAATCTCACCCGTTTTGGTTTAAAATCATTTCACTTTGACCTGTCACTATCAGACTGTGTCCTATCAATATCAGCCCCCTCCTGTTTATAAGCCCCCTATAAGTACTGGAAGGCTGCAGTTTATTTTTTATAAAATCTGTCTTGGAAATGGTAAATTAATCCTAATTTTATTTTTGTTTTAAAAAGGATATTTTTGAGATATTCCTAAATGTAATCTGAGTCTGCACAGCTTAAACACTTGTGTAAAGGCTTGTGGAGGGTCATTTACACAGTGGTTAATCTCATATGCACTGCAACAATGCCACATATATAATTATTAATAGTCATTGTAACTCAATAATACACAGGAGAGGAAACTCACAAATGAAAACAGCACCTTGGAAAATCTGGACCAATATTTGTGAAGAGGAAAGTTGCATAAGCATTAATTAAAAGTGAAAGTAGTAGTGGTAGTAGTAGATGTAATAGCAATTTATAGTAATTTGAGCTCAGGTAGTCATGTAATGTTGTACCTAAAAATCAGAGAAAAACAGATGAGCATTCTGTGCAAAATCTGCTAGAATTACAGAAGTGCTGAATGCTAGCAATATTCAGCATGTTCAGCAGCATGGTGCTCTTCCAGGCTCTCAGAGCACATACGCAGTTAAGCTAATTTTAAGTTAGCTAAAATTCTCCTTGTTTTTCTATTGTCTTTCAAAGTACGGCAAGATCAGTACATATTGCAACTTCCTTCTGTTTTTTTTGGCTGTGGGAAAGACCTTTGAGAAGGGGTGGAAAAAATGGGGTGGAGAACAAAAAAAGGATGGAAATGTTCAAACCACAAAACAACAAAAAAAAAAAACCAGAGCAAACCAAGAGATGTTACACAGCAGCCACAGAGACACATCACCATACACATGCACTGTACCAGGGTCTCTCATACTTGTTGCAGAGGAGGGAGTACTGCAACTCAGCAACCAGTCTGCAGTATTTAAAACAGTCATGTTGTCTCCTGAGGACAGGAATGGTATAATGGTTCATTGTCTGAATGTCTGTTCAGTGTACATGAATATTCTTCAATGCTAGTAAGTGTTGTTATACTTTGAGCCAAGTCTCTTAACTGCACTGCGTTGTTTTCCTGAGCATTGCTTTAACCAGTTTATTTATGCAAGTATAATATATAGGGGCACATAGATATTAGTGTTCTTTAGTGGTATGCTTGAAGCTTTCCCTTCTCTTTATACTGGAATTATGATTTTCTTAAAAATATAAATAGGTAGAACAGTAATGGTTCAGTCCTTTTCTGTAGGGTTCTATTCCCCTCACATGCACATGCACTTTTTAATGACATTCACAATTTTTTCCTTTTTAAGCAAGTGAATTAAATGCTTTGCATCGTGGCCAGAAAGAACTAACTACAAAGTTTTTTTTGGGGTGCCAACATCTAACTTCCAAGAAAGAGGACTGAAACTACAGCTTGAAACATATGCATGGTGACACTCTCACAGACAATAATAAGGCCATGACTCCATCTCAGAATGTGACACCCCCTCATTTTTGCATCTCAGCTATGGCAGAACCTACTATCTGAAAACATCTGGACATCTGTGTTGTAGCTGCATGGTAGCACTGTTCATTTAGTAATAGATACAGTGATAATAGCCAGTAAATTTAGAGTTAAACCTAAACATTCCTTCTTGACAAACTTTCACTGCCTGCCAATAAATGAAATTAGCATGTTCATCATTTAAGAAAATTATCTAAGCCAGCAGCAATGACAATTTTGATGTACTTCTTTTGCCAGAACTTTTCAATAAATCTACATGGATGTAGTTTGGGGTATAACTGTAAATTATAATTCAGCCATGAAGTAAGAAGCTGAAAAAGCAATTCATTCCAAGTTACCAACAGGCATAACAAAGCCTTTATGAATTTGTTAAACCATTTCAAAGCTTTCTTACTTTCACTTTTGTGCAGTTCTACCTCTTCCTTCAATTAGTGCAAATTGGAAAAGTGTTGCTGGGATTAGTAGAGGTACACCAGTATTTTCTATTTCTTTCTGAGTTTTTATGCATGAAGTTAAGAACTAGCCAAAAATTGCTACGTACTGCAAATGTCTTACACTTACCTCCTGTTCCATTTGTTGTAACTGATGTACTACTGAGATTAGGTTTATCCAGTTTAGAACTACCCGGTGCATCACTGCTTCCAACAAGATTATGAGGACTTGCTAGATCTTGCATTTCCATAGACCTGTTAAACGAAGTGATAGTATATAAATATTTTGTGGTTTTGTGGTACTGTCTTTTAACTAAATCTAAGGAAATAGCCAATAATTTGTCATGAACAGCAACAACCCCAGCATTTTCTACTTTTCTTCCAGGTATTATGAAGTAAATGTCACTAGTTCCCAAACTGTTCAAATTGCTTCTGAAAGACATGCATGCCGCAGTGCATGTATACACACACACACATACATACAAATATATCTATACATATACGCTTGTATATATGGATGTGAATGGATGGATTGATGGGTAGACAGCTGTATGTATGTATGCATTTCTTAGAAGAAAACAGATAAATTAAGTGTAATTTCAGTCACTGCAGAGCAAATCAGAAGCAGGACTTCTGCCTCCCATTATCTGTATTCCAACCATCTATAGTCACTGAATTCATACTAAATCCAGCAAAGGAACATACAGATAAATGAACAGAGCTTTTACATAAATCTGAAAGACTTTTCACAATGAAAAAAGCATATATTCTAATTAGTTTACTTGATCTTTTTTCTTCTGAGTAATTTCCAGGAATCTTGCAAAATTTTTTAAAAAAGCATTTTTGCAGGAATAGACCACAATGGACTTCAGCATTTCAATTATACTGAGAGACTGTGGATGGCTTTCATTCAGTGACAACAGATCTGCCTTTCATAGACAAAGCAGAAAAGGAGTGGTTCTTGTTAGACTGGTAATAGAAATCTAATTTGCAGTGCGTGCTTGTCTTTTCCTTGCTTCAATTATAAATTAATTACGCAGATTTTTATTCCCCAAAGAAACCTTTTTTCTATGTATAAGCAAAGTTTCCAGCCCATCTGCAATAGGAGAACCATTTACCACATGTTATACTATAAAGGCCAACAGAAAGATTATCTTACAAAGTTGTAAAAGCCCACTTGCATTGTAAAAGATTGAGATGGCTAATAAGAGAGGGACAGTTGGGACAGTTCAGTAAGTTTAACAACTCTTGTATCTTCATATTCTGTCCAGAAAATGCAGTGGCAAGTGTTAAGGCAAGACACTTGCATTATTACAAGTTTCACTTTTAAACTGTCTTCCATGCTCCTCACACTCTCCTCTGGAGCAGAAAAAAACCCAAACCATATTATCTTTCCATCTAATATGGGTATGCTGTTTGAATCTGATTTTGGTTTCTCCAAAATAAGAAAAAGAAAAAAAATCCAGAATGAAATGTCTCCCATTTTATGCTCCCAATCCAGTTGATCTCCTGGATTCTCTCTCATTACATTCATTTACCCCAAGGCACAGATTTAAAGCTTTCATGTCTTGAAAATCTTCCAGTTTAGGAAATACTACATTTCAACCGGGAAAACACACCAAGGCCTTATCCAAAGCCACATGAAGCCCATGCAAAGAATTTCATTTACTTCAATAAATGCTTGAATCCAGCCTGAGATTCACCAATGTGCCAATGGCAAGGCAGTTTTCCCAATAGTAGACTAGATGAGACAGGGTAAGTTGATACTGCAGGTTGTGCATCAGCAGGTAAGAATTTTATTGCAGTATTCACATAAACGCAAAGGTATGCACTGAGATTTGAACTGCCTTGACCTAAATTTCATCATCTAATTGTACATACATTTCCACACATCTGTCAGCAGCACATTATAGTTATTTTCTACTGGAAATGTGATCAGTGTTAGATTAAATAAAATGGACTCAAGTGGTTTACTACTCCGTCAGTTTCTGTTTGTCAGTTTCTGCACAAGGATAACAGCTAAATGTTAAAAAAAGTCTTATGAGTTTCCTTCTACGCATTTAAGGGAGTGGGAGAATGCTACACAACATAAACAATGTGTGTTCACTGCATCTAGTGTTTACTACTACCCACGTGTTCACTAACAGTTAAAAGTGTCATGGTTTCTTCTTCCAATATGATCAGCCCAGAGATGTTCACATTTGCTTATTTTCTTGTTTAGCATGAAAACTACAATGATTTCTTTCTAGACAGCAATTTATCATGGTCACAGACATAAATGATTCAGCTATATTTCATAAGCAAAATCATTCATTTATCCAGCTACTGTATGTAAGGGCTATCCATTTAAGCACACTTCACACTCAAATCAGATATAATCAGAAAAGCAAGTCCACTGATTTTCATTTGCTTGCCAAGAACATAAACTGATTACGTAAGAGGAATAGTTTTTGTTCCACACCAATATGAAATCTTTTGAGCAGAAAAGTCTTATACTATCTTATACTTGTTCTCTTCATTCAGCATCTAGAAAAAGGCATATGAATGGCAAGCTCATTATTAATGCTATTTTTAAAGTAGCAAATTTACACATAAAAATTTTCCCTGGATGAGTAAAAGACATCTCACAGTTAAGAAAGTCTAAGAAAAGGATATCCAAAATGATGAAAAGCTTCACAAAACCACCTGTATACATTTATGCTTATCCTGGGTGCTCTAGCTTGTGTGAACAAGTAAAGGGATTACTTCAACATATTCCTATGTGATATATTTATTCAAGTACATGTTCCCTTCTGTGTAACAGATGTCATTCAAATCACCTTTCTGGATGCGTTTAGTTTACCTTCAGCCTAAAAATTTCTCAGAAAGATGTAACAGACCTACTCAAATCTTACAGCTTCAGTGAATAAAGGATTCAGGAAAAATGTTTAATAAAATGGATGAAATAATTCCAACATCTTGAATTCATTTTGTCGAACTAAATGTTTATCAGAGTGCTGCTTTCACTGACTTAATGAGAAGCAGGTTTGGGTTCAGTATGTTTTCTTGCAGTAAAAGTTAAAAAGGGTGATCTCAGAAGGACCAATTAATACTTCTAAATGTATGCATTTATTTATTAAAGACTTATTTTCTAGGAGGGACAGTGTGTTTAAATTTAGGCAAAGTAAAGTCTACTGTTAAGTCTGCTTTAAAAAATACATTGTAAAGCTTTTTTTTTTTCTTTTTTTCCCCCCTTTTCTCTGCTAGGCATTTAACTAAAGCTTGAGTTTTGGCTACCCAATCTTTGTCTAAGACTACATCTCCAAGAAATTAAGTAAAATGTTAAATTGTATAGAAAGATAAGTTTTGGAAGGAAATGCATTGCTTTGCTACATATTTTAAATTCCTGATTGTTGGAATGCTGCTAATATGACAGCAAGCTTCTGAGCAAAAAACTGAAATCTGGCAAGATGAATTTGTCTTTTACTCTGCTTTGGCTATGCTTTAAGTCTTTGAAAACTGGTATTTGCACAAGCTTAGTGGATCGTTTCTGAGGCTTACTGGAAAAGTCACTAAAACATCCCATTTGCACAGAACAGCCTTCCGGATCTCAACACATTTCAACTCCAGCCTGAACATGGACATACCCAAACAGTGGAAGTGGGTTTGCATTAAGATGGTTGTACATGAATCCTAGCCTCTAGGTTAGAGCACATTTTGTTTCCAAATAAATTTTCCCATCTGTCCCTACAATGGCAGCTGAACAAAATCTGCAGTAGATCCTAAACCACTGAATGGTACAGCCAAATATCATAAGCTAACCTAGCATAGGTAGTTTTCCCATGGCTAATTATGCTTGCCCAGTTTAACTATATTTCTGAATAGTTTCTATGTATTTTTATGACAAGTTCAAGCCTTGTTTCTAGGGTTCTGGTGGGGTTTTTTTGTTTGTTTTTTGTTTTTGTTTTTTTTCCGACTCCTTTTACAACTCAAAACTCAATATTTTATTGATGAATTCTACAAGTAGATCACAGCTAGAGAACTTCCTTCTTTAAAGAGATGCCATTTTAAAGTGTAAAATACTTGCTACATAATTTATTTTTGTTCTATATTTCAAAGTGTTTTCTACTAACAGCTTTGAAAGTATGAAACAGTTTATCAGAGATCTATAGAAGAATATATATTTAGAAGTGGAAATAAAGTGCATTACACCCTGAATGAACATTCAGCAAATTCAAAAGGAAGAAGCAGTGAAACTGATGAGATAAACTTGCTCCATTGAGACAACTGCCTCTCTTGTCTTCACAGATTCATCAATGCCTGCTTTGTACCTTCTCCAGCTCAAGAGATGGCCAAAATATCACATCTTCTACTATTCTAGGCAGTCTCACAAAAGCATACAAGTTCTGTGAAAAACAAATAACACTGCCAGACACTAGAAAGAGTTCCTTTCCACCCTTCTCGAGGCCTTGTTTCTTAACCTATAAAATGATCTGATATAGTGCTGAGAAGCAGTAAAAGCTGTCACGGTATGCTGATATAACTAGCAAATGTTCCTTGGACTTTTATTTTGTCTCTTCTATTTTAACAGTTGAGAAAGCAAATGCTAAACTTTTTGCAACTATTTGCATTTGTTTGGCAATTAGGGTATCAATTTCCATTTTAAAAAAGTAAGAGGAAGAAGTAGAACTAACACCACATTGATATTCCAAAAAATACTTCTCCTCTGTCAATCTTTAACCAATGTCAGACAAAGGGTAGTACAGGAAGGTAACGTAAATGAAATGGAGAACAACGTTAGCATTTCTACATATTAATAAATAGCACGTCATTAATTAATAATAAAAATGCCATGGCCTCAGCTTCATAGAAGTTTAACTGCAAAGTAAGGACTGCACTATGTTCTTATAAATATGCATGATTCGTTACAAACTTGAATATCATCATATAGCTTCCCAGTGCATGAGTTCAAGCTCTCAAGGAAACTACTTAGGCATTGCAGTAACAGCACTGTGAAGACGATCCTTGTTATACAAGTAGACTATAATTTGAAAAAAATATCAGAATTGCAGAATTTTGTATTACAGCTTTTCAGATCCCAACAATATTGCTTATCTTGCAGGGCATGGGACTGCTGCAGTGATCCTTTGGGGAATAAAGTGGCACTAGCTGTGATTGTATCTCAGTTTTCTTTTAGGCCTATTGTCTTTCTCCTGGCTATTTAAGCTCTAATTCAAGGAGAAAAAAAGCCTTATGCAGACAGTATTACTTTACAG